TATTGATAACTTGCTGCTTAACTAATAATTTAAATTATGCTCTTGTATCATTAAAGCTTTTTATGCAAAATGGTTGCCAAGCGATATCCACCAATAAAGCCTTGTATATTCTTTGGTGTCATTTATTTTTGGTTTACGACGGGTAAGTCTAGTTGAGTACATTCTCATACTCAGGGTTTATTCCCTCTTGTTGCAGATGACGTGCTTTATAACGGCTACTAGAAGTATTGTCTCCACCCTGCTGGTGACGAAGACTAGATCATGGGCATGATCTTCTATGTTATCTTATCATGATGCTTTTGTTGGATATGACTATGGAACTGGCTTGTATTTAAACTACATGTGTGTGATGGTTTCCAACTACTTTGCTTCCGCTATTTGTGAACTCATGTTGTAATAACTATGTGAACTCCAATGTATGAGATACTTGTGAACTACTTGTGAAATGTACGTAACATGTGGCTTGTTATGTTGAATCGAGTACGATCTTGGTTGCATGCAAGTTGGTTCAAAATCCTTTGTGGTTTTAGTTGACTACCGGGTTTATATGGGTTCAAGTATGACGGTTTGATCACTCCGGTGATTGCTTTCGTACTTGTGCTCTTATAAATTGGTCGATTTCGTTACATGCCACATGATAGTTGATCACCCTCGCGTATGTAGCTGCCACCTACTGATCTTTATTGTGTCGTCCATGAGACCATAGAAAGATTGAGATTGATATTTTACAAGAGAGGGAGTGGGTATGTGGTTGTGTGTGTCTGATGGGAACAAGAAGAAAGTGGGTGTGAGTCTCCGTTGTGTCTTTGGTGGGCCAAATTTTCATCAAGCCTTCTATGGGTAAAGTCTCTTGGTAATTTGAAAAGCTTCCTTCACGTACTAAAGTCTTCTATCATCTCTCTCACACACAATGTTTAGTGATTGCATTATGATGAGATTGAGAGCAACCTAGTGCATTGCATCTGGAGTTTAAGCTTTGTAGCATGGTCTTTTAAGCAAGTGTCGTTGAGAGTTACTCTTGGAGATTTATTGCTTCCTAATGGCTTTGAAACTCTAGAAACATATAGTACTTCAAGAAGATCTTAAAGGTGCCCCAATTGTTTCTGTTGAAGGTCTTCTAATCGTCTTGCTAAAGAGTAACTCTAGTGAAAAGGAAGGTGTGGAGTTGTTCTTTGGTTCTAACTAGCTCAAGATCAAATGGTGCCTTGGTAAATGAGTGGTTAAACAATAATTCCACCTCAATGTATGCCTAGCAGGGCGATAAGTCATTAATGCCAACCTTAAGTTGTAAACCTTCACCTAGTAATTATAGTGTACAAACAAAAGCTCTATTGTGTTACTAATTAAATAATTTTGTCTGATATTGTGATTTTTAGTAGAAACCACGTACCCTGGTTTGTACCATCGAACATACACAAGTCCCACGTGTGTTAGTGGTTGATGAGTTGAGTGGTTGAAGCTTCAGCGGTGGGTAATCAATGTGGTGCCCCATGGTGGCAAGGTGACTTACCAAAGGCGGTGTCAGTATACACGATGGTGCTTATGCGGGAGCACACGACGTGATCTTAGGGCATCGTGTCTGCGTAGTAGCCATGGCATGAGGCTGCTGTAATTTAGCACCAAAGTGTAACATTGTTGGCCCGTTGTTGGCATTTCTTAGCATCACTTGTCACTAGGTTGTCATCCCTAGCATAATGCCAGAAATGCATGGTTGGTAATTATTAATGACACTTGTAAACTTAAGAGAAAAATATATATATTAAAGTATCTGCAAGCGTACAGATAACATACCATTGTAGCATTTCACCCGGGAGTATACCAGGTATCGTTATTTATATTTTTTTACCACAGGGAGGAGCTTATGGAGTGATATTGGCATAGAGATATTGACAAATATGTATACTTATGATAATAATCACTCTCATGCTATTGCAGGGGTAAATCAAAGGGTAAATAAATGATAAGTATAAGGTAATAGTAGTATTTCAGAGATAGAATTAGAGACTCATAAATATAGTATAACTAAGCAGAAGATTCGTTAAAGAGCAAAAGATTCTGAAGCCATTACTTATCTACTAAGCCTTTTGTACACCCTAATACATACACTCTCATCTATAGTATAACTAGCTTTGGATCTACACATAAGGAACATTACTAAGGAAGATCAAGAACATAGCATGTCTATCTTCGCAATCACGTTCTACGTGCTCTACAAATGGGGAGTGGACTACAAAGGACTCAACGGGAGTGTCACATCCGTGATCTACCACATGACCTAGAGTGCAGAGAGCATCCGTAGGCAAACACTATGTAAGCACCATGCTTACATAGTGTCGACCACTTAACTCACATACGTATTGAGTTAAGCGCTTTATGAACATATGCATAAACTCATCATTAATCATAACTATATCAAGCATACAACTAGAGCAAACTAGGAACATAATAAATAGCAACATAATGATATTAAAGTAGCACAAAGTCATAAATATAGAAATACAATGGCTATACCAGTCTCCAGACGGCAGATCCAAAATCCTAAGCAATAGCCCACACTCTTCTTGAATCTTGTTAGCTAATCTATACTAGAAACTTGAAGAACTAGAGCTCTACTCTCTAATCTCTGGAAACTCAAGTTTTTTGTCTAGCCCTGACTTATGACCTGATGATCTGGAGGGGGGGTGGGGCTGGATTATATAGCTCAGAGGATATAACGTGAGCCCTTGGATCAAACCAACTTAAGCAATGGCTTAGATGCATCCTAGGAGGCGGTGGAAACCAACATAGCGACGAGGCTGACAGGTGGGCCCCTATGGGGCCGGGCGGCCTGCAGGTGGGGTTGGGCGACCCCACCTGTCACCGTCTCATCCTCCGCTTCGGTGACGTGGCTTCTGGAGTCCTCTGAAACTTTCTAGAGTTGGTTTCGCGGTGGAATTCTGATTTTTCCTTTGACGTTTAGATCCCCCTTGACAGTTTTCTATATAAACGCTGCTGAAAACATAGATTCACCAAAACTCGTGAAAATTGTCAGATTAAATCCCTAAGTCTATGTTTGTGATCATTTTCGTGCATTATTTCAGGTTATATTGATGTTTATAATGGTCGGTAACTACCGTCAACACCCGTAAAGGGTGTGGTGAGCGCGGTGGTGAAAACAACACAACTAGCGGTAGTTGCGACAGGCTTGTGAGCCACAACCATATGTGGGGTCCGCGGAGTTTGTCGCTATGCGGATGGGGTGAATGATACTTGTGTTGGCAAAGGAGGCAACAAATTTATGAGTGTTTTGATCCATAAAAGTAACATTACATCTAGTTATAAAGTTGACCGAAAGTGATGGAGTGCCCGTAATGCCGTTGAGGGGAGAAAAGAAATAAAACGGTACCATTTTAGGAACAATAAATTTTCAATGGCACCGTAGACGATTAATACAAGTTTCGATGTGTATAAGGAAAAATTTCAATAAGAGATAGGATATGGAGATAAACTAAGATGAGTACCATGTTTGTTTGGATTAAACATTCAAACATATTTACATGGGTCTAGAGAACTTGGTCTAATGTAGCAATGTATTTATACCAATTCATATTTCACGGGAAAATAATGTGTTTAAGCATTACTCCCTCTGTCCCTAAATGTTTGTCGCCATAATTTACGTGTCGATAACTTTAACTTGATTTATAGGAAATGTGTGCAACATTTCTATCTTCAAATAAATTTATTAAAAACTATATTCAAATATCTATCAATGATATTAATTATGTATCATAAATATTAATATTTTTTAATATATATTTAGTCAAAATTATTCTTCGGGAAGCGAAAACGACAGACATTTATGGACAGAGAGAGTAGGTCTTAATGTCATGACATAAATATATGACTTTATTTTGTATTCTAGTTTTTTATTGTTAGGATTTTTACTTGGTGTCCCGTGGTAACGCCTTGTCATAAACAAGACAGGTGTAACTTTGCGTAAGACCCATTTACTGAGCTGAATTTCTTAGGTCCGATCTCATAACCTATAGTTGTACACATCTTCCCTTGTAGAACCTTGGTGTCCACTTGGTTTATTACATATATGCAATAGATAATTGTTAGTTGAAGAATATATCTAACCCATTTGTGTTGTTTTGTTACTCATGGTTATTGTTATCAACCATGCTAATACATGTCTTACTTTCTCATTTTCGAGTATCATATCTTATAATAAATGACACCGTCCTCATCATATATCTTATAATGTTTAAGAATTGTTCAATTTAACTATATTCCTCTGCGACTTCGTACAAGTTTTAGTGTTTGCATTTATTTGATGATGTACCTAGTGGGTGTTGGTCAAAGGATGAAACACGATAAAAGTTAGAAACGGACAATTTTTCTGACATAGTGACTAAGAGCAGATCGAATACACTTCCAAACCTAACTTCGAGTCATTTATTTATTATTATTTAGTTGTTCTATGTTTGTGTTGAACATTTGTCACCTAACGAACTTATAAACTTCCCAAGGATTAAGCCATTATTTGTTTACAAATACAAAATTATATAATACCAAACTAGATTATGTTACTAACACAACATGCATGAATTCTTACAAGCTAGTCACATATATGAACAATTGTCAACCCTGATTGTTAATTAGTCGAGAGATTAAGTTAGATCATAAAAACCTCACATCCCCTTTCTCCCCAACAAACTTTTCGACTTGCAGCCAGAGCTTTATTCATATAAATATAGCACATTCAACTCTAGTAGGAGGAAGAAAATGTGAAAGGCGAATCATACATTCGTAGGTGGCATTATTGATTACCAAAATAAAGAAACGGAAGGATAGGAAAACAGAATAAATAAACAAATAAAAAACAGCACCCCAGTGGCAACACCCTCCTCGCCTCCCTACCTAGCCTCTGCTCCTGCATCTCCAAGAGCCAAAGACCAAAGAAAAAAAAAAGGGGAGAGAAAACGCACCCCGAAAAACAAACCAAAAATCCCCAATCCATGAAGCCCACCACTTCCGCCGCCGCCGCCGCGGCGGCGGTCACCACCGATGACCCTTCCCCTTCGCCGTCCGACTCCACGTCGGCGACGTTCACGGTCGACCGCCACGGGGACGCCTCCGCCTCCTGCCGGTGGACGCTCCCGGACTTCCCCCGCACCCGCGCCCGCACCTTCTACAGCCGGTACTTCGAGGTCGGCGGCTTCGACTGCCGCCTCCTCCTCTACCCGCGCGGCGACTCGCAGGCGCTGCCGGGGTACCTCTCCCTCTACCTACAGGTCCTCGACCCCAAAACCCCGGTGTCGTCGTCGTCATCCACCACGACAACCACCTCCTCCAAATGGGACTGCTTCCTCAGCTACCGCCTCTCCGTCGTGCACCCCACCGATCCCGCCAAGTCGCTGGGCCGCGATTCCTGGCACCGATTCTCGTCCAAGAAGCGCTCCCACGGCTGGTGCGATTTTGCGCCCTCCTCCTCCGCCGCCTTCCTCTTCCAGCCCCACGACGCCCTCGTCATTGCTGCTGACGTATCTGTGCTCTCCGAGGCGGCCTCCTTCACTGATGCCGACGGTCGTTTTACCTGGAAGGTGCTCAATTTTGGCCTCTTCCGAGAAATGATCCGCACACAGAAGATCATGAGCCCTGCATTCTTCCCGGCCGCTGCCTCTGCTGGCGGGACTGACTGCGGGCTCCGGATTAGCGTCTATCAGAGCAATGTCTCTGGCGCAGAACATTTATCTGTTTGTCTGGAAAGCAAGGAGCCCGTTGTGCAGGTAGCATCTGGGTCATCCGCATCGGCATTGGCATCAGGTGGTACAGGGAGTGGTGTGCCAGATGGTGATCGTGGGTGCTGGTGTCTTTTCCGCATTTCTATCCTTAATCAGAGGTCTGGTGGGAGCCATATCCACAAGGACTCGTATGGTCGGTTTGGGGCGGACAGTGCCAGTCTAGGTTGGGGAGAATACATCAAGATGGATGAGTTTTTGGCTGCTGATAGCGGATACCTGGTAGATGGAGCTGTGGTGTTTAGTGCCTCAGTGCATGTCATAAAGGAGTCAAACTCATTCACTCGGAGCTTGCCAATGGTTCCCGGAATATGTGGTGCTGGTGGTGGGCGTGCTGGGGCTAGGAAGTCAGATGGACACTTTGGAAAGTTTGTGTGGAGGATTGAAAGCTTCACAAGACTCAAGGAGCTTCTCAAAAAGCGCAAGATCGCGGGTCTGTGTATCAAAAGCAGACGGTTTCAAGTTGGGAATCGAGATTGCCGTCTTATTGTTTATCCACGGGGTAAGCACTAGGGCTTATGCTTCTCAAATGGTAGCTTTGAAATTGACTTTGTGGATTCTGTTCGGACATACATTGAACTGCTTGTGGAGTGAAACTTGGTGAAATGCTGTAGGCAACTAAGCATGTGTACACCTGCATGGTCTGCACAAATCTTTTAGATACTTAATGATTGAAAAAATGTGAATCAATGGTCAGAGGTGCTTGATTAAATTGGTTCGGGAATTGTAACGGTGAAATCCAGACATGCATTTGAAGTTTGCCATTCATTTGGAATTAATGATTTTTTCACCATAAAAATCAATTCTTAATTTGTACCTAGAACAATAGCTAATAGTTAATGTACCAATCAGGCAATCAATGAATACACTGGCATAACTTCTCTCTCTTAGGTGTGGCTTATAACTATTGCTTTCATATAAGCTGTCCTACTTGTCCTTGTGGATGGCAGGCACACTTTTTATCTTGTATAAGTAGCTGCTGCCTCTTCCAAAACAATATATCATGTTGATTTCACATTTTGTCCATCCATGATCCCTGTTAATGAAGTGCTTATTCGTGTGGCATAAAACCAATGGATGCCACTGACAAGTGTTATTTTCCCCATGTAGCGGCATTCATAGAGCACCACAGTGTTGATTTTTTTTTCTTTTGTTTTGATTGTAAAACTGTGCCAGTTTTTGTTGGAGCTGATCCAAGAGTTGACTCATGATTACACTATATGACTATAGCTATATCGAAGCATCAAATTGACCTTAAGTTCCACTTTTGAAGTAGAATATGCATTTGCAAATGCAGCCGCAACTTGGGTTTCCTGGGGCTCCTTCCCTCGATATTGAATTCAGTGTTATAGACCAAGTACTTAGTTTTGTTTGGGGGCAGTAACTGCTGCCGCTGAGTCCATATTTCTATGGCCGTCCCCAATGTTTTAGTCCATTAGAAGTTTGAACTTGTTTTCACTACAAGAAAACTGTGTCCATTTTTCAGTAGCATCTGAGTATGATTACTTGTTAATGTTGCATATGTGGGCATTCTTAGAATTCGGTACTGATCCTTTCATTTGGTTTTGTTTATGTTGCTGCAACCAGGGCAGTCTCAACCACCATGCCACCTGTCAGTGTTTCTGGAAGTTACAGATCCCCGAAATACAACTACTGAATGGAGTTGCTTTGTGAGCCATCGTCTCTCTGTCATCAACCAAAAAGTGGAGGAGAAGTCGATCACGAAAGAGTCTCAGAATCGTTACTCTAAGTCAGCGAAAGATTGGGGTTGGCGCGAATTTGTGACATTAACTAGCCTCTTTGATCAGGATGCAGGTTTTCTCGTGCAGGATACCGTTGTGTTTTCAGCCGAGGTTCTCATTCTGAAGGAAACAGCAACTATGCAAGAGCTTACCGATGAAGATTCTGAAATATGCAGTTCAACCTATGGATGTCAGATTGAAGCTTTACCAAAGCGGCCATCATTCACATGGAAAGTGGAAAATTTCTTGTCTTTTAAGGAGATTATGGAGTCCAGAAAGATTTTTAGTAAATTTTTTCAGGCTGGGGGTTGTGAGCTGCGGATAGGTAAATAAATTTATTCAGTTTCTTGTCTTATACAGCTGCACCAAACCCTTACTTTGTGTTTACCTCATCGTAACTTGCAGGTGTATATGAGTCGTTTGATACGATCTGCATATACTTGGAGAGTGATCAGTCATCTGGGTATGATCCTGATAAGAACTTTTGGGTGCATTATAAAATGGCTATAGTAAACCAGAAAAATTCTGCAAAAACTGTGTGCAAGGAATCTTCAATCTGCACGAAAACATGGAATAATTCGGTTCTCCAGTTTATGAAGACTTCGGACATGGTTGACACTGATGCTGGCTTTCTTGTTCGGGACACTGTTATTTTCACTTGTGAAATCATAGACTGTTGCCCATGGTTTGATTTCTCTGATCTTGAGGTAAGTTTTCATTTGCTCTTTCTTCATGTCTTGTCTATTTGTGCTTTTTAATGCATAGGCGGAGGGAAGTTTAGTGAAGCAGCTGATACGTAGAGTTTTACTGATTTGCTACAGCATATGCCAATGAAACAATTTTAAGCATAGCAAACTGTTCACCTATCAGATTGCAGTTAAGAGTCCTGTGAACCCATAATTTTTTTAGCAAGGGAATGAATGAATTGCATTGTTTAATGAGGCTTGTGTAGCATCAGCTATCCATGTTGAAGCAGTCATCTCTTGGCCCTTTTGTTTACTGTTTTCGTTACATTTTTTGTGCTTGTTACTGCTGAGGACTATGCTGGCCTAGCTATGGCCTATAGGAAATGTGTCCTGCTGTATATTGCAATGATGCTTCATATTTGCTAGTTCACTCAAAGCAATGGGATGTCCTCTGACCCCCCACCCTTTTTTTCCTTTTTGAACGGGTGTCATATGACTTTAACATCTTTGGAAGATAACAGTATGTGCTGGATTAGTTAACTATTGTTGAGTAAGCAGACTTTAGTATTTACCTTTGAAGGATTTTATATGGGTCATAGCATGTATTTGTATGTAAGTTGTAGCTGTGCTTGTGCACAAGTTGTATTCCTTCCTAATGTGACACTGATATAAATATCCGTTTTGTTCATGGTACATTCTTGGAACTGATAACCAGATGTGCTCATATGGCAGACAGTGCTCTTTTCTTATTAGGCTCATAATTAACTTGTCTACAGGTTTGGGCCTCAGATGATGACCAGGATGAATTGTCGACAGATCCTGATGAACTTGTTGATTCTGAAGATAGCGAAGATATGAGTGGTGATGAGGAGGATATTTTCCGGAGCCTCCTCTCGAGAGCTGGATTTTCTCTTACATACGAAGATAACTATACTCAACCACAGGTTACTTTAAGAGAGAAAATTCTAACAGATGCTACTGCGATAGCTGGATTCCTTACTGGTCTGCGTGTTTATCTGGATAACCCAGCAAAAGTTAAGCGTATGCTTCTTCCAACCAAAGTATCCACCAAGAGTGGTGGAAAGAAAGATGCTTCAAAGTGTGATTCAAGCTCAAGCTCCACAAGTCTCATTAGCTTGTTGATGGGGGTTAGTGCCTTGAAGCAGGCTATCATAGATTTGCTTCTAGATATAATGGTTGAGTGTTGCCAACCTTCAGAAGAAAGTGGTTCCTCAGCAAGCACTAAAGCTTCTCCTGATTCAAATGGGGCTAGCTCTCCACCAGAGCTTAGCGTTGAAGGTGAACTAACAGAATGTGCATGCAATGATGTGTATGCGAGGGTGGAATCTAATAGTGATGATATTCGAGATAGTCCTGCAATGTGTAATACAGATTTGGCTGCAACTGAGATCGCTGTAAATAATCTAGAACATTCCTGTTTTCCTCCAGAAACATCTGCTGCTGATTTGCCAGCAGATGAAGGCCCCGAGCTGGCTTCCTGGGTATGATTTGAGGTTTATTATTTTTTAACCTTTATGATCACATTCCTTCAATTAGTGTATGATCCGACCAATTTTTTTCTCAGTCAAAATGGCCAGAGCAATCAGAGGAACTGTTAGGGTTGATTGTTAATTCATTGAGGGCATTGGACAGCGCTGTCCCACATGGATGCCGTGAACCAAGAAGGCGGCCCCAGGCTGTCCGAAAGATTGCACTTGTCCTTGACAAAGCTCCAAAACAGCTCCAGCAAGATTTGATTTCCCTTGTACCAAAGTTGGTGGATGGTTCGGAACACTCCCTTGCAGCTTGTGCCCTATTAGATCATCTTCAAAAGCCAGATGCAGAGCCTTCATTGAGATTGCCAGTAAGTTTGCCTCCTAAGACTAGCTATAGTGCTACTATGGGGCATGTATTGACCCGGGATGGTCTCCAGGGCTACGTACGCTTTGACTGTTAATATCTCTTATGTTATATTGTTAATGACCATGAGATTGACATCATATGAAAGTACTTTCAAATATAAATCCAACTGTACTGAATCTGTATGTTATAATCTACAAAATCTTATTTCTTTATCAAAGATTAAGAAGTTTGCACCTTGGCTTGTGTGCGGCCCTTACAAAAAGGAGTATGTTTTTGGCTAATTTAACTTTTTGGACACTTTTCAGTAATTTTGTTGTGTGAAAGCACATGGTTTCCGCTATTTTGGGAATGAATAGCTGATGTATCTGCATTTGTTCTACTGTATGTATTGTGGGTTTGTGACTTATATGATTGTATTTGTGGATAGCTATTGTGCTTGATTAGCTTATATAAAATATATGTGAACAACTAATACCTGACACGATTCTTTTTTCAATTAATTATGGTAGGTTTTTGGTGCTCTTTCTGAGTTAGAACTTGAAAGTGGTATCTGGAAACAAGCATCTGTTCATGCACTTGAATTATTGTCTGACTCAAACGATGAGCCTCTTGTAGCTGCCATTACTTATGTTCTTAAGGCGGCATCACAGTGTCAGCATCTTTCTGTAGCGGTATGTTTACCAGTCATGCTTCATGACTTCCTGCTTGCTCAGCATCTTCTCACTTTTCATATCATTAACTGCTTTGGTTTTTTGATTTCCAAAGGTTAGAGCTGTTAGATGGAGATTGAAAGATTTGGGAACTGAAGTTCCACATTGCGTGCTTGACTTTTGTCTAAATCAATTCAAACCCAGCCAGATGTAGCTGAAGCTATATTGAAGGATATTGATTCTGATTGTGAGCCTGAAAACAACTGCCTATCATCAACATCGCCTTGTAGTACTTGTTCTACAGATGGGCTTTCAGTTGAAGGGATGTATTCTTGGCAAGAGCAAGCTGTGCATGGAAGAAGTCATGTATCAGATGTTTTTGCACTGATTGAAATGTTATCAATGCCTGGATTATTTGTTGAAGTCGCACAGGTTTTTGAGAGGGCTTTATTGCGAGGGTCCTTTGGTCTACAATTAGTAGCCATGGTGCTGGAAAGAAGACATTCTTACAGGTCAAGTTCAAAGTCTGGGTCTGTTGTGAATGATTCACAGAACAAACAAGTTCTGTTAGATGGGCAGTTTGAACCTTTATCTGTCCAAGAAAATGATTTCACTTCAGTCCTTGCACTTTGTGAGGTATTATCTCTATCTACAGAAACGAAGGTTCAAGATTTTGTGCGGATGCTTTACGCTATCATATTTAAGATTTATGCCGAGGATCATTATAGATATAGAATTCTTAAGGGCCTTGTTGATCGAGCAACAAATACATCAGATAACTGCCGAGCAGTCGACATCGATATGGATGTCTTGGTATTTCTTGTTAAGGAGGAGTGTGGGATTGCGAGACCTGTTTTGAACATGATGCGTGAGGTTGCTGAAGTTGCTCAGGCTGACCGTGCAAATCTTTGGCACCAAATATGTGCTACTGAAGATGAAAATATTCGTCTTCAAGAGGACATGGAAATGGAGCAAACAAATTTCACCAACGAAAAGATTGCACTAAACCAACAGCAAACTGAGTTGGAGGCAACTATTGGCGGTCTAAGGGTATTTCTTTGTTGTGACCGGCTGTTAACCCTTTTTTTTCATCTTTGTTTGTTAGCCTAACATTTATTGATTTTCTCATTGCTGTAGTCTGAGCTAAAAGCTGAGAGGGACCGTTTTACTCGTGAGAAGAAGGCATTATCCGATCAGATGCGAGAGATTGAGAATCAGTTGGAATGGGTGCGATCAGAGAAAGGTGATCAGATTGCAAAGCTCTCTGCTGAAAAGAGGAATCTTCATGATCGTCTTAATGATGCAGAGTCACAACTCTCCTTGGTGAAAGCACGGAAACGTGAAGAATTAAAGGTAAAGTTGTAGTAATCCTAAACAATATGTGTCAAAAATGTGTTTATGCTGATCAAAATAAACTGTTCATCTGTTTCTGTTGTGTTTCTTGTCATCAATTGTTTGATAGACTGGTTATGATACCGATTATCGAAATAAATGTTTTTTAATTGTTTCCTTGCCGTGTTTTCTTTTGGCTACCATTGTAGTTTGTGTTGAGTTATTCTTAATATGTCTGCACACCTTGACCTTGAGTCTCTATATGCAGTATGCAGAACTTATCCCTTATGATTGAGGTTAAGTGTAGGATGAAAGCGCACTCACTGTTTTAAGAAACCGTATCAAGTTTGTTTTACAATTTAAAAATTGTTTGCCAAATTATTGGTCAAAGATTGTGAAGTCTGAATCTTGATATGTGTCTGTGCGCCTTATAAACTGGACCGGAGGTTGTAGAGATATCAGTTATCATGACCTTCATGTAACTGTTTACATTTCAAATGATACCAATGGTATTTGCTATACATTTTTAAACAACCAAACTAATGTGCTATGTGCTGCAGAAAGTGACAAAGGAGAAAAATACATTAGCAGAACGGCTGAAGAATGCTGAAGCTTCAAGGAAAAGGTTTGACGATGAATTAAAACGTTATGCAGCTGAAACACAGACTCGTGAAGAAATTCGAAAATCACTTGAGAATGAAGTGAGAAGGCTGACACAGACAGTTGGGCAAACAGAGGGAGAAAAAAAGGAAAAAGAAGAGCAAATTACTCGTTGTGAAGCATACATTGATGGGATGGAATCCAAACTGCAAGTTTGCCAGGTTTGCACCTTGCTATTTTTTTACGTTTCCACAACTACTGTATGTTCCACACTTGCACCTATATTGACTACTTCAAATGCCTTGTTAAAAAATGACAATTCTTTTCATAGGTTTTTTTGTCGCAAAGATGTATTAGTCAATGGCATCATACGTTTTTAGGGACTTGTCCATGATATCGGGAAACAGTATTGCCTGTAGAGTGCAGATTTGGCGCCCAGGGGGGCTGGTGCCCGTTAGCTAAAATACCATGTTGCAATGTTTAAAAAATCATCACAAAAATCATCCACGTTTTCCTAGACGGTAAACGGTAAACGGGCGGTGACCCTCCGTTTAGCGTTTAGACTGTGTAGACGCCATTTAGACGGCGTCTAAACGGATTAAACGGTTTTGTTACTGTAGCAAGGTTTCTGGCAGAATTTCTCTTAAGGGCAGGGGCACGAGCTGGCTCTGGCTGGTCCACGGATGCACGAGTCGATCCGGCAGATGACATCCTGCAAATGGCATGTCATCGACCTTTCAATCAGAGCATAACAGAGCAAGATTGATGCAATTCATGGTGCTAATTCGAAGTAAATGGAATCAGAGCAAGATTGAATCATAACAGAGCAAGATTGATGCATAACAGAGCAAGATTGATGCATAACAGGGAATCAGAGCAAGATTGAATCAGAGCATAAGCATAACAGAGCAAGATTGAGAGCAAGATTGAAGTACTTAATCGAGCTAATCAGGAACAACAAGTAAATGGAAGAACGGACAGAGCAGTACCTGGGATTGGGAGGCAGTTCGGTCGGAGGAGGCGTCAAGGCTGGAGCTGCTGCTGCTCGGAGGCGGGCGCCACGGGCCGGAGGATCGAGGCGCGAGCAGCAGGCAGCGCGACGCCAGCAGGACGAACCCGACGCCCAGCGAAGCTGGAAGTTAGCCTCGCCGCCGGCCGGTCGACGCGCTGCGTCAGAGGGAGGGAGCCGCGACGCGAGCGCGCAGCTGCAGGTCGGCCTCGTCGCCGGCGCCATTGGACGCAGCGTCTGCGAGAGCGTCGGCGGCGGCGCGCGTCGTAGTCTGAGCTGAGCGAGCGGGAAATTTCCTCTCAACCCTAGCCTCCGGTGCTTGTACCCGCCCAAAACTTGTCGAGGAGCCGCCAAAGGCGCCAACTCTTCCCACTTTGTTGCTCCGCCCGTTCCTCTTCCCGCCTCCCGCCCGGTTCCTTCCGCCTCCCTTTCTTTGCTCCAGCGCGATCGATTTGGGCATGGCCATCACCTAAACGCCTGCTTATTCCCGTTCCAGCGTCCATTCCCGTTTCCTGCCGTCCCGTTTAGCCCGTCTTCAACGTTTATTCCCGTTTTTTACCGTCTAAACGGGAAAGCCGTTTAACTGTCCGCCCAGGCCCTAAACTTCACGGCACCCTGTCATTTACCGTCTAAACGCGTTTAGACGGCCGTTTAAAACCGTTTAGGAAAACGTGGAAAATCATATATGTAGTACATATAAAGTTAAGTATAAAAGGGCGTACCCAGTGCAGAGAGCTCCCGCTCTGTGCGGGGTCTGGAGAAGGGTGTTAGTGGCAAGCCTTACCCTCGCCTGTGCAATGCGAGGAGACCGCGACTCGAACCTGGGACCTTCCGGTCACAGGCGGTAAGACTCTACCGCTTGCACCAGGCCCGCCCTTCACATATAAAGTTAAGTATAGCCACAACAATTCAGTTTGAAATTACTCCCAGATGTCAAGAAACAAAATAGACAAGCAATCAACTTGACAGTGTTCATCATGTGCTGACAGTGGCACTTCTGTTTTTAATATCAACATCATATACATGATTTTTGTGATGATTTTTTTTAAATATTGCAACTTGATATTTGAGCTAAAGAGGGTGCCAACCCCCTTGGGCGTCATATAATTTTCCATTGCCTGTATTTTGCATATTGATTTTTAGATAGGTAGTCCAAATAGTATGCCTAGTTTTTGGATGAACCCTGTGTTATTCTTAATTGATCTAATTGAATGCCGAGCAAAACTCATGGACCTTACTGATTACAACATTGCGAACATGCAAATTTCTGTGGCGGATTAGTAACTTTTTTTATGTCTATCATCACCATCTGAGCTGTACTTGTTCTTCAGCTAGTATGTGCTGGTTATGAACAACTTTGAATGGCCCAGGGTACTCATTATCATGACCAATTTGGCAGTTTCACATTATTTTCCTGCTGCTGCTCTTATTACTAGTGTAGAACCTTGCATCACAACTAACCTATGATGTTTACTGATGTATCATCATTTTCAGCAATACATTCGGACACTTGAAACGTCACTCCAAGAAGAGATGGCCCGGCATGCTCCACTATATGGTGTTGGCGTAGAATCACTGTCGTTGGATGAGCTGGATGCACTTGCAAACATCCACGAGCAGAGTTTAAGGCAGATCAAAGCTATCCAGCAAAGGAAAGGTAGCAGCCATCTCTTGGGTGGCCCTGCCCTTTCTCACATCCCTGCCCTATTCTCCTCGCCTCCTTCAGTGGCAGTTGGCCCTCCGGCCTCACGGATCCCCACATCCCCAATGGCACCCAACGGTGCAGGGATCCATGGGAATGGGCACCTGAACGGCGCGACGGGCCGCTGGTTCAATCCGAGCTGAGTGAGAAGAGGTGGCGATTTTGTGCATTTGATTCAACGGGCGACATTTGCCTGGGCGTATTTTGCAGCCGCTGAGCAAGCCCAACGTGATAGCCTTTTTGTTCCTGGCCTTCCGTCAGGCTTTCTTCTTGTACTTACTTGGTAGTGCCGTCGGCTTGATGTCGCATGGGCGTAAAGGGCTTGATATGAAATAATGTATGTAATAATCAAGGAAACCGATGGAAATATCAGGTGCAAGTGGAGAGCTATGGGAATGGTTGTGCTTGTTCAGTTCTAAAAGAATTCAGGTTCATTTGTTTTCGAGGAAAGTTGCGGTAGGGAAAGGTGGCCGGGTTCGAGGCTTGTCTTTATTTTATTTTGAGCTAAATGTATCAGTGGCCCCTGAACTTGTCTGAGGGGTGCTACTTAGGTTGACAAATTTTAAAAATGCATTTTTGAGCCCCTAAACTTGTTAAGTGATAAGCTGTGTATACTTAAACCTGTAAAACGATGCGCCGTAGACCATACGGATTAATTATGGTGCACTAATTAACAAGTTTAGGATCTAGAAATGTGTTTTCAAAGTTTGTTGTTCTAGGTGGCACGTATGATAAGTTTAGGGACTGCTTATGCATTTAACCTCTTCTATTTATTTCTATTCTCCCGTGCCAACTTTGGTTCATCGCTATTCTGATTTGCTGCCCAACGTTTTCTGTCGGTGCATTCTTAAGTTGCTTGTATTCAGCTACGTGGGATCCTTTTGTTTTTTAGCAGTGGGCAGTGCTCGGAAGTCGGAAGCAGAGAAATGCAAGTCGATGCCCGGTCGACGTCGACGGGTCGAGTCTCAAAAGGCGAAAATGTCCGGCGCGCCTCTTGGTACCGAGTACTGACGGTCGACGGCCAAATTGCTGCGGCGCAAGACCTCACCTAATAAGCAATGGCAATTGGCAACACACTGTTGAGTTGCCAGTTGCCACAATCTATTGAGCACCGGGGCCTTGTTTAGATCACCTCCAAATTCCAAGTTTTTTCACTCTTTTTCCATCACATCAATTTTTAGCCGTTTATATGGAGCATTAAATGTAGGTAAAAAAAATAACTAATTGCACAGTTTAGTTGAAAATCACGAGATAAATCTTTTGAGCTTAGTTGATCTATGATTGGACAATATTTACCAAATAAGACGAAAATAAGACGAAAGTGCCGGGAGGAACGCCGAAGCGCGCTGAAGAGATGCAGGCAGTGGGCACTGCACCGCGCACGGTCGTGGTGGCTTAGAGCAGCCGGCGCAGGACGGCAATTCCCGCCTTTTTCAGCGCCGTCACTCGCGCGCGCCTCGCCTGCGTTTGATGTGGACAGTGGACCTCCGGCCTCCTACTAAACGGCCCAAGGGCTTGACGTCCAGTTAGCCTGCCCCGTGCCGCGAACGTTGTCAGGCCGTTGAAGCTGGTGATGGGGGTCGGCTTGCCCGCAATTAACTTGAGACCGCGCCAGGAATAGGTTGGTGGGCTCGAACGATTCTGTTAATTCAGCCCAGAGTGGGAAGAGTACTGGGAAGCTACGTATGTATTCCTTTTTCATTTTCCTGCATGACGCGGCCGCAAGGCATGGCTGCTTCCATTCGAGATTTCGAGTTTGCATTGTATACGCAGAGACAGACAGACTGTGACAAGATTTCTCAAGTGTAGCTGCACACGACTAAATTAGACTCGCAAACATCCAATAATATATGCACATGCACACCAGGGCTTAGAACTCTGGCGAGTGAAGTGAAGCCACGCACCCACGACAGAGAGCCACGCTATCGCCGTGTTCGCTACGCTTATAAGCTATATTTTTTTTCATCAATGAACAATATTTTTCTCTCATAACGAATTAGCAAACACTACTTTCAGTCATGGTTTATGAGTCGAGGGAACAGACATATATTATATGCATAGATGCTCATAATCTGATAGGCGTGCCAGCTGTAATCGGGAGGTGGGACGGCATGGTTTGGGTGCCACGTGCCAGTTGTGTCATCCATCCGCAGGACTCGCTACAAATTGCAGACCCGAATGTTCTTAGCCCTGCTTTCTCTTGGGGAAAGAACAATGAGCCGGAAGGACAGCTAGCAGCATGGGCTGTCGTGATGAGTCAGTGAATCATCCCGACGCGTGTCCAAAAACCTGGTAAACTAATCAATACGTGTCCCTGAGTCAGCACAGAGACGCGTCGAAGAAGACACGAGCGACGGTTACAGATGGATCAATTTAGGAGACGGTCACGACTCACGCATAGCCTACTACTACCAGAGAGTGGAGCGGAGTGGGAAATCGGTTGTGTGCCTCGCCGGAAATGTGATCGGAGAAAGAATCGCGCCGTTCCTTCCGGGAGAAGGGAAGCATAGGACCGACCGGACGCACTCACTCCGGTCCAGGCAATCTCGTGACCTGACGGCGCCCCTTGGCTGGATCGAAGCTCCTCCCACGACTCGTCGAGCCGGTTGCCAGCGGCGGCAGCGCACCACCCTCCGTTCTAGACCCTTCGTTCGACGTAACGTGGCGACGGGCGAGTAGTAGTAGTACAAACCGTGACATGTTTGTTCTTGCACGTACAGGCCCACCATCCTCTAATGTCAACCCTGCGGTGCCCCGGTGGTGGGAGATCCTCTGCGGCCGCGTAGTCATGGGTCCAGGGTTTTGTGGTTGCCTTCACTGGTCATTCCGGGCCCTGCTCACAGGAACTGTCTGAGCTTGTTCTACGGACCGCGCCCAACGGAAAAGGACGAGTAGTACTTAGTCATGAGTCTTTTCTAGCTATAATATAAAGATCATTTGTTTTTTCTGTGAACAAATTTTAATTTACTAGCCCGCTTTCATCAATTTCTTTATGTAATTCCTGGCAATGTATGACTCGCCGCTTTAATTAATGAGATAGGAGTACATTATCTAATATGCAAAACACAAAAAATGAGACAACACTTTAAAGTCGAAAGGTTCCTTTTGATCGAACCCATCGACGAAGCTTAAAATTCACGCCTAAACTATATATTTTGGTAACCTTCAATTTATGAGATAAGGAGTACATTATCTAATATAACAAAAATTTCTTCATCAAAAAATGAGACAACACTTTAAATGTCGAAAAAGAAAAACTAATTACACGGTTTGATCGAACCCATCGACGAAGCTTAAAATTCACGCCTAAACTATATATTTTGGTAACCAAAAGAATTTAGCAGCCGCCGTGCTAGTAAATTTTTCTTTAAGTATACGAATGTAGGACATAGAAGTGTCAGTAAATACTCTATAATCATTCGTTTGCCTTGTAGTAAGTAGAAAGTTACTGATAAAAAAAAATCCACTGTGGAACCCACTTGTACTCCACTGAAGGGCCCTGCCGATAGTAAAAGGGCCACACATTCGACCGCATAATCAGCGGGCTAGCGTGCGGCCGATCACTTGCGTGCCCCTTCGCCTTTCCCCCTTATCCCTTCCCCTCCACGGGCCCACTCCTACAGCCCTCTCAGCCCTCTCCGGCTCTCCTCCCCTTCCCCACAAGCCGCTCTTGGCCTCCCGCTCCCGGTAGAACTGATCCGTCGGCCCACGGGACACGTGGAGCTCTGTCGCGGCGCCGGACCCCTCTCGCTTCACCACTTGCATTTCCTCCCTTCCTTTTTCTCCCCCTTCGTTTCCCTTCCCCCTCCGCCACCACGCGAGAACTCGTCAGATATTTATGAGCGCAGCCGCGGGTTAATCCTCCCTTCTCGCTCCCGTGCTCCTGCTCGTGCTCGCGTTCGCAGTCGCAGCGCTGGGGTTGAGCCGCGAGTGGAGTGGATAAACCCTAGCCGGGGGCGTAGCTGGGTTGGTGGTGGCTTTGGCGTCGGCGACGGCCCGCTGTTCTCCGGGTGGGTGAGAATTCCGCGACTGCTGTGTACTGGAGACTCTACTTTCTGTGTGCGGGGGTGGTTAGGCACTGTTGCTTTCCCCTCAATTTGGCTGAACTTTTTCCGCTTTTCGTGCGGTAATCTATCTACCTCCTTGGGATTTTCCAGATTTTTTACCTGAGAAGACTGATCAGTGATGTTTTGGGAGGTTCTGGTTCTCTGTTTGTTGGATTTGGGCTGGCGTTCGATCGCTGTGTCGCTGTGCTGTTTTGTTTGCCTTATGAGTTTTAATTTTGGTCCTACTACTTGTCCAGGTTTCTACTGTTTGATCCGTAGAGTATTGTTTCCGGTAGGATCGTACCGAAGAAATCGTGATGGTAAACTGGTGTGCTGTTTTCTCTGAGTTTCGATTTCGTTTTGGATTGTCTATTTTGCTCTTATTAGGGTAGGGTCGGATACATGATTGACAAAAAATGATATACTGATTGCTTAATGTAATCTGAGATCACTCATCCACTGATAAAATAGTTAGCAGATAAAAAAAAATAGCAAAATAAAGTTTGTACAATTGTTCATCTACAGATTTGAGTCACCCTCGAATCCTCACCATATATGTTTATGTTGCAGAATGCAGTGGGAGGTGACGAAGGCTGCCATGGGCTCTAAATACACCACAATTGGATTATAGGATAGTCGCAGCTACCAGTTTCCTAGAACCAAATTGTTGATAGCGAGAGGAGTGACTGGATTTTGTTCAATACTTTCACCTCGATCATGGGTGGTGTCTGCTCAAGGAAGAGAAGTCAATTGGTGGATGAAGGTGACTCTCTCCAGACATCCCCAAGGTTCTCAAAGACCAGCAGCTTAAAATGGCTGCTGCTTACACTGCCCCGCAGCAGTTCTGATGTCTCCGGGAAGGGGCAGGGGAATGAACCTGGGCGGTGCCCGTCCCTCGTGGAGCTCTGTGTGGCTAGAGTCTGCCTGGTAATATTGTGGCTACATGTGTTTGAATTTTGATATGGAATGCCTTTTTTTTAACACAGTAATATTTGCAGGATATCGACAAGTATTCTACTTTTGCAATGCTGCCGAGGGATCTCAGCCAGCAGATTTTCAATGAATTGGTAAATTCAAACCGTCTTACGGAGGCATCGCTTCAAATTTTTAGGGATTGTGCTCTGCAGGTAAGGTTTCTGTTCTACTATGCCTAGCATTCCTGTAGGAGTATGCCCCTACTGTTTCGCCCCAGAAGAAATTTGTTTAGCTTGCTTGTAAGTATAGCACATAGGTTGGTCCCATGAAATGCATGCCAAACTTTAGAGGTGGGATCTAGTAGTTACAATAAGCAATGCTGTCTAGCAAGTGACAATTGGAAGTTTGGAACCTCTTGTTAGATGCTTTTCTATTAGGTGCTTAAATGCTCTTTCCTCTCATTTGGAATCGATAATCACTTTTGTATTGAGGACTTTATCTGAAACTAGCTTTCACTTTTGAGAATGATTCTTGCGTGATAATATGAGGCTATTTCACTTTTGTGATAACTGTTCTTTCATGCCTCATTGTTAGGACATTGGCTTAGGGGAGTACCCTGGAGTAAATGATGCTTGGATGGAAGTAGTGGCATCTCAAAGGCAGTCATTGTTGTCGGTTGATATTTCTTGCTCTGAAGTAACTGATAGTGGGATAGATCTTATTAGAGATTGCTCAAGCATGCAAAGCTTGGCATGTAATTACTGTGATCAAATATCCGAAAATGGGTTGGTCGTATTGTCAGGTTAGTCACATGTTTCTTACTGAGGTTTTATTTATTTAAATGACTTTAGTTCACTTAAGATGGATTTAAGAATGAGCTTAAAAACTCTTAACTGTGTGCAAGATTAATGCACTACAATCTAGTTGGTTCTTCGAATGGTGGCTTATTATCAAACTCAAATGTGTAAGAGGTCCAACCCTTACCCTAAACTTGGCCTATTGATAGCACTTCAAATACAAGTCCCTATTTTAATTTGTGTTATAGACTATTAGTCAGTTAACTTGCTATGCTTCAGAACTTGTATTTTGTTATACTAAAACTTAATGCTTCTATATCTGCAGGACTGTCAAACCTGACTTCTTTAAGCTTCAAGAGAAGTAATGCTGTTACTGCTGAAGGAATGAGAGCCTTTGCAAATTTAGTTAACTTACTAAATCTCGACCTTGAAGGTTGCCTAAAGATTCATGGTGGCCTTATTCATTTAAAAGGTCTCCTCTGGTCCTCATGAACTTTCACTACTTTCCGAGTTGTTGACTTGAAATATCAGTTGCAATGTCTTTTTATTTTCCAGATCTGACAAAGCTCGAGTCGTTGAATATGAGATATTGCAATTATATTGCGGATTCAGACATCAAATATTTAACAGGTAGCAGCATATCTGTTTGTTTATGTGTTTCCCTCAGAAACATTATATGATATCAGTATGTCAGACAAAGCGGTTGTCTTGATAGAAATTTATCTGTTGTCATTTTGAACATAGTAAAATTTATAAGATGGCATTCCCAGATCTCCCATTTTTGCATGGTTGATGATCACCTTTCTTTTGTAGATCTTACAAATTTGAAGGACCTTCAATTGTCATGTTGTAAGATCACAGATCTGGGGGTGTCGTATATCAGAGGTAAACAATATGACAAGTTTCTTCTTTTTGTTTGGAGGTTGATCATTTTTTCTGTGGATGTACCGCTGTCTGCTTTGGGCTTTATTTAGCTTTTTAATGTACATTGATATTTATGACCTGTGTTTAACTGTGCTGTAAGTTGATCTAAAGTTTGACAAGTATGCTTATTCTTCCCTGTAGGCTTGCAGAAGCTCACTCACTTGAACCTAGAGGGCTGCCCAGTGACCGCTTCTTGTTTGGAAGCTATTTCAGGTCTTGCATCGTTTCCTGATAGTATCTTGTGTTGTGCTTATGAATCTTGATATTATGTGACCTCAGTCAAAGTTTCATATCTGTTTCTATTGTTTTATTGGTTCATCAGCGTTCGGAATTCTACCTCTGTTGCACTTCTATGGAATGATAATGATAATGTACTAACTTGCTATGACTTTTTCCCTAATTAGGTGCCATAAACTGTTCTGCAATCTGCATGCAACACAAACTCTTGATTCATGTGAGGCTGGCTTATGAAATTTGTATATAATAAAGCGCTCAGTCATTAGATAGATGCTTCTACAGAAAAATTACAAACTTTAAGAACAATGTGTAGACGAGGCATTTCTCACTCTGGGAGCAAATAGAGTTTGATTGCTGTTTAGTATGATTGCTTTCTTATACCTGTTATAATCAACGCTAGCTTTCTTTAGGATTTACAACTCAGCTCTTGCAGATGAGAACTGACTGCCTGATTATATCTTGCACTGCTCATTGATCTATATGGGTCATTGATTTTAGTATACTTTTCTGTCTTGTGTTGTATTTCTAGGATATTAGTTGTAGGTGTGTAGGTGTCAAATGCATCTTCTTAGCAATGGCTGGTTTTGTTTGGTCTGTAATATATCTTCACTTCATTGCCATTCACTTTTGTAGGATTGTCTTCATTGGTATTGTTGAACTTGAACCGTTGTGGTATATACGATGATGGCTGTGAATACTTTGAAGGTAAATGTAATGCTACTTGCTAACTATTTCTGGACTCAGCAGTCGGTACTAGTGCAGTTTTTATAATATGCAAACATTAATATTAAGCGGCATACATGTTGTGCAGCCAGGGTGTGTTTTATATGTTTAATGGGGCGACATACATTTTGTTTGGGTAATTTTTCCTTTTGTTAAGTGGCGTGTGTTATAAGTTTAATGACTTTTGTGTGTGTGTGTGTGCATTTGCGTGTTTTTGTCAGCACGTGTGTGTGTGCGTGCAACATTAGATGCGAGGAATTTGCATGAAATTTGGAAAGATGTTTATGAACCTGGCCCCCACCTTTTCTTGTTCTCCTCTGTATAATGCCCAGGTTTTTAGTAAATAATAGGCAAATAACGTGCGGTTGCAAAAGGCATTTATTTCAAGTACTTTAGAAGAAGTTCTTACCTGCTTTTATGTGCCGTACATGATACATGCATTTAGTTAGCCACTGAGCATGTGTTACCCTGATAACTGATTTAATCATTTTTGTGCATGTCTATGTCATGCTTAACTGCTGTCTAATTCATTGCCTATTGCTGCATTCCAGGTCTTAAAAAGTTGAAGGTTTTAAACTTGGGGTTTAACTATATTACAGATGCTTGTTTGGTGCATCTCAAAGGTATGATTATCTTATAATGTAGTTGCGAACTCATATCTTAACTTTTTAGATTTGGATGTCTGCACATTGCACAATACAATGTATGCATCGAATCTATATTTTATTATTATTTCAATATTGGCTATTTGTTTCAAGGAATTGATTTTGCACATAGTATTACATCACTAGTTTATCCAATTGTTTTGTTTTCCTTTCAAGAATTAAAATGGCCTGGTTCTTCAGGGGCTTGGACGGATATTATTCTTCATTGATAAAATGAGCTAGTGATTTTTATTTCCTGTTCTTGATGCCCTGATCAATAAGCAAGAAAGACTACTTGTGGAACTAAGTGTTTGATCTAAAAAGAATCGAAATAACAAAATACATAGATCAGAGAGAATTGTTCCAAAACCAAAAGATGTAAAATCAAAGCATGTCATTTTTATATCCATGCATATTGCTGCCAAAGGATGACCCCCTCTTCTGTTTTATTGCTGTTAAAGATACTGAAAATCCAGAAAATCATTGTAGAGTAGAACTTCAATGTGGTTAAAGCTAAGTTCTTGTGATTTTCTTGCTTCTAGGATTAATCAGTTTGGAGTCTTTGAACTTGGATTCGTGCAAGGTTGGAGATGATGGTCTATCACATCTGAAAGGTGAGTAACAGTTTTACTGGTTTTCAGTCTACTGCATCCTTTAGGTACAGTTCTTTTTATCATCTTTGCAATTTGTTTACTCGTTCCATTCTGTGCCTATATTCCTGCAGGTTTTCATCAATGATATGTTATTAACTATTTGTTTGACTCAGAATTCATACATCTGTATCTGTGAATGCATGTTCCTTCTTAAATCTTTTTAGGAATATTTGTGCTTGTAACATTATGAGCCTATGTTAATGCAGGTCTTGTGCTACTGCAAAGCTTGGAGCTTTCTGATACAGAAGTTGGAAACAATGGACTCCAGCATCTATCTGGTCTGTCTTGACTTTTGAAAAAAATGAATTTTTTTTAGCTCTTACCTCTTAGATTGATTGAATCCTATACATGGCAGAACCCTTGACGAAAGTTTTAGGGTTGCTTTTGACAGCAATATATTAATGTATGTGCTTTCGCCAAGTATAAGAAGAGAATGTTCTAAACTTCTAATTTGTGATGCAAAGTTGCTAGTTTCCTATGTGGAAACTGTATGTGACTCTTGACAAAACATGGATTATGTGAATATTAGAGTTATAAGTGCATATTTTACTTGTTTCACTGTGTGTCTTTTTTTCCCTTCTAAATGCATTATTTCAGTGGCATGCTTATAAATGCACTGTTTTTTCTAGTTGTTAAATAGTTTAATGGAGATGATCTCCATGTATTTTCGCAGGTCTTTGTAATCTGCAAAGTATTAATCTCTCATTTACTTTGGTCACGGACATTGGTATGAAGAAGATCTCCATGTTGAATTCGCTGAAGTCAGTTAACCTTGACAATCGCCAAATTACTGATGTTGGCTTGGCAGCACTTACAAGTATGTATCATACATGGATTGTTTGTACAAGATCCTTACTGTTCCATTTATGGTATACTACTGGTATTTGGTAGTTCCCGCTAATATATGGGGTTGGATGATGCAGGTCTCACTAGGCTGACTCATCTTGACCTTTTTGGAGCTCGCATAACTGACTATGGCACAAACTGCTTCAGATGTAAGAGCATACTTCAAAATCAGTTTCAGTTGCAAAATTGGTTGTTAAGCTATAAAAAATTGATGTGTTCTATCCAGAGGCTAGTCACAGCTAGTTTATACTTTTCAGTAGTCAATAATCTTCGAATATGTAGTAATACCAGCCATATTTATGAGGTGAGTTTCATGGAACAACACCCTAACTAACTTGGCACACTATGTTATCAAAAAAAAAAAAAACTTGGCACACTACATTTGTCCGCTACGACTTGGTTGTGGTGGCCATATAGGAGTATACAAAATGACTGAAGCACTGTACAGAAATACCTTTTGCTGGGCCCTGTTGAGTTGGCGAGCTTGTTGGTCATGTTGTTTAGGCATCCCTGTTCCTATTTGGAGATAATTCTGGGGATACATTGTTTGACATTTGTTATCTTTTCTGTGACTAAGCGGCCACATCATTTGACACAATTTATGTTGTTGCAGATTTTAAGAATCTTCGTTCTCTTGAAGTCTGTGGTGGGTTCGTTACTGATGCTGGAGTGAAGAACATCAAAGATCTGAAGGCTCTGACGCTGCTGAATCTTTCTCAAAATGTTAATCTGACAGACAAAACCTTGGAGCTGATCTCTGGTATTGTTCTTCCATGCCGGAATAAGTTTACTTCTTTTTTACAGTTCAAATCTCATGGCCATCTGGTTTACAGGCCTGACTGCTTTGGTCAACTTGAACGTGTCAGACTCGCGGGTGTCCAATGCTGGTCTCAAACACCTGAATGACCTGCAGAACCTGCGTTCACTCTCTCTAGACTCCACCCGGGTCACGGCAAACGAGATGAGGAAGCTCCGAGCAACAATGCTGCCTAATCTGATCAGCATGCGGCCAGAGTAGCTTTACACTTGGTACCTGTTGTAAATAATCATCAGGTTCGAGCAATCTGTTCTGTAGATAAGTATCTTGGAAGAGCCTGAAATGAAGGCAGGCATATATAAGTCAACAATGATTTTAACTAGTGGTAGGTGTTCTGCTATATGTCAGCGAGCTCGTTCGTTTCGGGTGATACTGAAGAAATGGCAGTTGCTTTGCACCGTGCGTGCACCCTACAAGGCGCGATGGGAAGAGAGAGAATTGTAAATAGCGCGCTTCCTCGCCATCTGGGATGCTTATGTGTGTCGATCTTGTTATGTTTGGTTAAGGTCTTTTATTTTCCTCTAAAGTTTACTCTTTTTGGATATATGCACGGAGTATTAAATATAGACTAAAAAAATAACTAATTGTAAAGATTACTATTACTTTACGAGATGAATTTTTTAAGTCTAATTAGTTCATGATTTGATAATGTGGTGCTACTGTAAACATATGTTAGTGATAGATTAATTAGGTTTAATAAACTCGTGAATTGTTGAGGATTTCTATAATTTGTTTTATTATTATTATTTGAATACTTTGATGTGACATTCTAAACTTTATTCTGGATTTAAACACCCACCTAAATTGGAGTTAAGTGTGCGTTACGTTGGTGTCCGATGAGCACTGCGTGCTTATTTTCTGTTTCTCTCACGTATGCTGTTCATGTTTGTCGCTTTCACTCTGCAACCACAAAGATGGGCGGTGACTATCGGGTATATAAAGTTATCCTTATGGCCAAGGCTACGTTGGATCCACGGTCTAAAGTTTTGTCTTAGCGCTGTTTAGATTCTATAGTCTAAGTTTAGTTTGTTAAAGGTTAAACTTTAGATCATTTTAGCTCACTAGTGTCGTCTGAATGAAGGAACGGTGGTTCGTTAAATTTTAGAACATTTTAAACTATATCTTTAGTCTTAAGAGCTAAATTAATTTAAAGTTTTAATTGCTAAAACTTAGATCATGGAATCTAAACAGGCCCTGAGGGGTGGTGTCGAGTGACGAAGGGTGTCTCCTGTTTAGGCGTGGGTCCGTGGGTGTTCGGTTTTTTTTTTTTTTTTTTTGAGAGATCTGGTTATCCTGCTTATTAGGCCGCGCAGAGGGGGTCTGTTTGGATGGATGCCAGTTTGTTTGGACAGAGGCCTTACCGGCAAATGCATCCTAGGTAGATGTCCAATCGAACGCATGTCTTCATGGCATTGTCTGCTATACAAATGCAATGTCCAATCGAACGCATGGACGGAACGTCTGGATGGATGCTTGAGCAAACAGGCCTGAGAGGCGCACGACAGATTTGCAAGTTGTTTTGGCTAACGTTTCGACATCCACCGACCCTGGTGTACCTACACTTATTAATTTACATGTTCTGTTAGGCGTTAGCCAAGAGGCTAACAGCTTGTTCGCTTGTTGGTTTCAACCAGAGCTTATTAATTAGCCAACAGTGTTTTTCTCTCACAACAAACCAGCATCAACTACGCTTATCAGCCCAGAAACCAACCAACGAACAGGCCGTAGGACTAATAAACTGACTGACTGCCTGCAGCTCCCCCTAGAGATTGAGAGGCCTACGAGATGAGCTCTATATATTTGTTTCCTGCTAAACACCATGCGTGCCTCATCACATATGCCATTCAAGTCCTGAGCCGTTTTCAGTCCTCAGCCAAAAATCTGCCGTTTCTCTCCCCAAAATCTTCCAAACTAACAAAAGCGTAACAGAGTTTGTACCAAGCCTTGCCGAAGGAGGTTCTAGGTCAGCGAGCTCACTAAAACATGATTTCAGATCAATCAACAAGACCATAAACAGGACCATAAACATGACCCTTACTCTACTTTTTGGTGTTAGAGAAAAAACTAAACCCAATAGGGTCGAGTCCCTGCTCTATGGAGCCCTCTAATTCTCTTACTCACCCCCCATCCCCCATGGGTTGTAGGGAGCTCTCTATTTCTTCCCGGATTTTTTTTTCACTGCCAACTCACTATCGTGCATCCTTTTTGTCATGATTTTCTACCGTGTCGTCACCCTATTCTTCTCGGTGTGGCTCACTTGGTGAGGACCCCATCGTGCAATCTTCGTTGCTCCTTGCCTCACGCCCCCATAGTTGGCGCCTGTCCCCGGTGTTCCTCGTCTCACACCCTCCCCTGTAGCTCAATTAAGTGCAACGACAGTGGATATGGCCTAATGACGAGTGGATTCCATATGCAAGTGTCTACTCGAATGGAATTTGAGGATTCAAAATTGAGGGCTCCTATTAGAGTAGATTAAAATAAATCACACCCTCACAAATCAAAAGTAAGGGAATCTCTCAAATCAAAAGTAGGCGCTTTGATTTGAGGACTCCTATTATAGTTGCTTTGAGTGTGGTCTACTCCTCTTAGAGTAACTTTAAGAGCCTCTTTGTATTTTTACTAATTGATAAGATTTTGATTAAAAATACTTTCCAACAATCTTTTTAATTAGATTAGATCTCTAGAGCGTCATCTATTCTGGATCTGTCGCTAGCCAAAGATGGAGAGCGGAGCTAGCTCTCTAGAGTGTCCATAAGATATAAAGAATATTGAAAGATGAAAAGATTTAGAGAGCAATTTTAATTCAAATGACTTCCTAAATGATAACACAGAGAGGCTGTTGACGATGCTCACCGAATTGCCGACAGAAACACGCGGTAACTGTCAAAGCTGCCGGTTCTCTTTAACCCCCAACTTTGAACAGCACGGCATAGAAAAGATTTACAGAATGACATTCATTCAAAAGGAATGGCGCTGTATGGTTTCCAGTCCTGTTTTCTTGCTAACATGGTCAACCCAACTGTTCCAGCAGCTCAACGCCTCAACGACATCCGCAAAACACGAGAGTTGCGTTGAGCGGCCAAGCATTTTTCGTGCTACTAGCAACAGATCGAATTCTCCAGGTTTATTAGCCTCGACCCAACATCAACCAAAGAGTGCTACCAAACTAAAACTCACCTGCCGTACACGGCGTCGCGTGTGCGGTGTGCACGCTCGCCCTCGTCGTTGGGTGCCGCCGACTCGGACTCGATCGAGTGTGCCGTGTGCAAGATCAGCCGGGAAGCGCTCCTCTGCCGATCGACTGATCGAGGCTGCGCTGCACGGTGCGGCGCCTGCAGCGGCCGGTATAGTAGATTTAGATCCCGAAATCCGGATTGCCAAACTAACTGCGCCGCGGCATCGATCAGCTTCTGTTAGCAACGAACTCTCGCTAAACTCCCCTTTGTTCCCGCAACGAGGACTGCGTGCATGCGCATTTTACCAGCGGGGCTGGACTGCCAGTTCCGAGTCAAGACGACGGTGCAGCATGCACGGGCGGTCGTTGGAGTAGCCGACTACGCGAGCCAGCGAGGGAGATCGTCGCATCAGAGAAGCTCTCGGACGGGAACAAACCCGCGTCCGTGCCTCCATGGAGAACGGTCGCCGCGTGGCTGCGATCGCCGTGTCTCTCATCGCCACCGCGCTCCTCGCCGCAGCCTTCGTGATGCCGCCTCCCGCCTTCTTGGGGCGGCGGCGGCGCCGAGTCAGCAAGCACCGTCCGGGAGCGCCGCCGGGAGCACTTCCTGCGGCACGTCCCGCATGAGCCCCAGAAGGCGCCGGCGAGCGCGCAACTCGCCGAGAAGGTACGGTAACGCACGCACACGTGACACGTGCACGCCGGTGTACAAACGCCGCATCATGGAAACCACGCAAATCTGCGGAAAATCGTCGCGTTTGATCGTCTCTCTACGTACGTGTGCATCTGGTGAGCGTCGGGCCGATCGAGGAATCCCTGGCCCGGTCTCGGGCGGCCATCCGCCGCGCGGCTCGCGAGGCACCGGCGACGGCGGCGGCGGAGAGCGCTCGGCGGAGCTTCAAGGACGTCAGCGACGCCTTCGCGCCGCGAGGCGCCATCTACCGAAACCCCAGAGCTTGCCACAGGTAAACCACGTATGCGTTACTGTAGTTCTCTTAGTTCTCCCGGATGGCCGGATCTCATCGACATGCGCAAATAGAGATTTTTTTTTGTTACATATAGACACAAATAAAGCGTATATACCGTCGTGCACAAATCAATAAAAACTCAATCTTGACATGGATCGCCGGATCATGGATCAAGGAGCTACCTGGAGATGGAGAGGAAGTTCAAGATATGGACGTACAGGGAAGGAGAGCCGCCGCTGACGCACCTGGGCCCGTCCGCCGACATCTACTCCATCGAGGGCCAGTTCTTGGAGGAGATCGAAGACCCCCGGAACCCCTTCGCCGCCCGCCACCCCGGCGAGGCCCACGCCTTCCTGCTCCCCGTCAGCGTCTGCAACCTCGTGCAGTACATCTACCCGTTCTACCGGCGCAACACCACGGTCTACATGGCGCACATGCGCCGCGCGCTCGCCGACTACGTCGACGTCGTCGCCGGCAGGTACCCCTACTGGAACAGGTCGCGCGGCGCCGACCACGTCATCGTGTCGTGCCACGACTGGGCGCCGCTGGTCTCCGAAGCGAACCGGGAGCTCTACACCAACGCGATCCGGGTGCTGTGCAACGCCAACACCTCGGAGGGCTTCAGGCCGCGCAAGGACGCCACGCTGCCGGAGGTGAACCTCGGCGACGGCCTCCTCCGCCGCCCCACGCCTGCCGACCGAGAACCGCACCACGCTCGCCTTCTTCGCGGGGGGGCACGCACGGGCACATCCGCAAGGCGCTGCTGGGGTACTGGCTCGGCAGGAAGGACCCGTACATGGACATCCACGAGTACCTCCCCAAGGGGCAGGACTACCACGCGCTCATGGCCAGGGCCCGCTTCTGCCTCTGCCCCAGCGGCTTCGAGGTGGCCAGCGTGCCCGTCATCACTCAGCGACGCTGGACTGGAGCAAGATGGGTGTCCGTGCCGCCCGAGGATACCGGAGCTGAAAGCCATCTCCGAGCCTCACCGGCCGCCCAGCGGCGACATGATCCGCTTGCTGCACTCCATCTGGCTCAGAAGGCTCAACGTTAGGTGGCCAGCGTGCCTTCATCATCATCTTATTCGTGTGTTCCGGTTTTATTTCGGACATGATGGGTACCCGCCGTCCTTCAGCGATAGATTTGATATTCAACCCTAAAACTGTGCCAAAGTCTGATACTGGAGTGTGTGTGTGTATATATATATATAAGACGGTGTCCGTGCCGCCGGCGAGGAGGTGCCACCGGTTTACATGCTGAAAGCCATCTTGCAGGGTGGCGGCTGTCCGATGGCGCGAAAACGACGTCGATGGTGATGGTTCCAAATCACTGGTTGGCAAAAACACAGAGGACATGCTTGAGGTGAGTATCATCATCGGTTGAAGTGCTTGAGCGCTCGATATGTGGTGGCTAGTGGCATCTCCCATAGGTGAGTTAGCTCCCAGGAAGGTTGACTTGTGTTAAAGTCCACCGTCATATGATTCCGTAAAGGGTGACAAGGAACCAACATTGGTTGAAAGATGAGGTGATGGTATGCTACATACCCATGATGGGATTACATGTGTTTATCACTGAGTTGGCAAATGTCACTTAACAGGAAGCTCCGCATATCACACCTCCGTGACTCCGCCGGCATGTGACAGCCAGGAGCGCTGTCCTCATTGATGCCTTCCGATCTTGATCTGTCCCGGGTGTGGACTTGAGGTGGACTGTGTAACGGCGTGCCGGTTGTTTACCAATAACCACCAAAAAAAGCGTGCTCCAAACGAAGCTAGAGAAATTGCACGGGAGCCCATGGTCTGGATGCATGGAGAGTTCCCAAGGGCCGGGCAAATTTGGAATATTTGGCATCCGGAGCTTGTGTTAAAGTGATGTTGCTGATCATTTCATTGAGGGCATGCAGCTCTTCACTTGCTTGGGGTGACAGCCTGAGACCAACATTGGTTGCAAACCGATGGTGAGGACTCGGAGGCGAGCATGGGCGGCGGTGGTATGCCCATATGCCTTGGCATACCCATGATTTGTGCCAGAACGAAGCCCCCTGATTACACCTCCGTGACTCCGTCGCTTTATCGCGCCGGGACGGTAAGCATTACACTCGCCAGGGTGCTGCAGGCGTCGCAGCGGCTCTTCTTCGTTGTGCACCGGCCGGCGCAGCGGTTCGACATGATCCGCATGGTGCTGCACTCCATCTGGCTCAGAAGGCTCAACGTTAGGCTCCCATACTGATGATGCAGGTATCGGTCAGCTTCATTCATGTGGTCGTGTTTAATTAATGTACATTATTCGTGTGTTCCGGTTTTATTTCGGACATGTATTGATTGTAGTAGATTTTCTTGTTCCTTCATGATGGACTGTCAAATGTGTTTAATCTGAGTTGAAGATTGTACCGTTCTAGCTACCTACTTTTATAGGTATAGATTTGATATTCAACCCTAAAACTGTTGCCAAAGTCTGGATATTCATAGTAGTATATATATTTGGAGTCATAAATGTTGATAATATTCTCTATATACTTAGTTAAATTTAGGGAAGCCTAACTCAACTCATTTAATGGTCACTAAAGACTTTTTAGATGAATATTATTTTTCTATCTCCAATTGTTGGTGGTGTTAGAGCTGACTAGGCACAACAGTGGAACGTTCCACTAGGACGATGGACAAAGTTGAGTTAAAAAAAAATTTGAGAACTGAAATGCACTTTGATAGATCATAGATAAAATTGAGCCCAAAATGCAAAGTTTGATGCAATCATCTTAATCGTCTTGGGATGAAATTGAACCCAAAAGTAGAGTTTGAGAACTAAAATAACCATTTTGAAAGTTAAGGAATAAAACTAAGCCTCGAGTAATATAGTTCGAGGACCAAAACGGCTCTTCCGCCTTTATAGGCAGTAATGCACCAACCCCACGTGTACTTAGTTATATTCTCCTGATTTACAATCTATCAGTTATGTCACGACCTTTTCAATAATATAATCTTTCCAGCGGATCACATTATCATTCACTTATTCAGAAAAGGAGAAGCATCGATTAGTCATTACAAGTGTGATTGTCCGGCCACAATCCACAGAATATTAGCATCAGGGATGAGCTAAAAGCAAGATAGGTAGCAAGACTCCAGCTAAGTCGATGGACATTTAACGTCAGGGGAGAAGATGTATGTCATCGGAGCCCTTGGACGAGAACAGAAGGTATTACTTACAGCTGCTACGTGGTATGACCAACTAAGCAGGGCCGCAGGGTAATATTTACACCAAAAATCCTCTCCTCACTTCGGAACTCTATCTGTTGTCGATCAAGTTCTCCGGCTCCTGCACATAATCAAAATCATCGCAAAATAGATGAAGACAATTATTATGTACCTAGATGAGCGATTAACAAGTATTTTAGTTGAAATTTTATGAAAACTGAATAATGAAACCAAAACAAAAGGTGAGTTTGGCAAACCTACATTAAACACAGAGCAACCAAGGGCAACGAAGACACTGTCATGAGTGTCAAAAGAATCTACTGGGGCAGCATCTGTTGAAGAGAACACTTTGTACAGTTCAGCCAGCAGGCGATCACCCCTAGGAAACCTGAAGTTGCTGGCTGGCGAATGTCACTTTCTCTTCTTTGTAATGACCTCAGGAACTCCTCTGAGCTCAGGTTACCATCACAGTTAGCATCAAACACATGGAAAATTATGTCCACTACTTTGTCAGTCAAGTCCACTCCACAAACCTATAAAGCAAAGAGTAGGACATCAATCAGAAAACGGATCTAATATTTGTGAATAACTGGAGCATGTCAGCTATAAACAAACAGGCTAGCTAGCAGCCTAGGGCAGAACACTACATAATGAGAGAAATGTGAAACCCAGTGCTTCTTCTATGGAAACCTAGAAGAAATATATTTCAAGGTAATAGCTAACTCAAACAACACAGGGCAGGTGTAGAAGACCTTACATGTGATGCAGCACGTTTTAGATCCAGCTTTGTCAACAAACCATTTACTTTGCCATAGCTGAAGATAGCCATTGCAAATGGTTCCAACCTTCTTCGAAGATCAGCAAATGCCTTGAACTCCTGAAATTATGTATTTGTAATTTGAAATGGAACAATGGTGAACCCAAGGGCAATGATGATTGATGAGGAATAGCTAATAGTCCAACCTCAAAGGTAATGCGCAGATCCTTGAGGTCAAGATTGTCATCCAAATCATCGACTCTATCCAGTAACTTGTCTATGTAATTCATATCAGCAGAAGCAACCATGGATAAAGCAAAGTCCTTCACAGGTATTGAGTTGGATGATTTCACATCGTAGTGACTGAACTCCAAGCGGACAATCTGCAGAAGATTCAACCAGGGGAAAAACACAATGAGTTAAAAATTTCATGAATGGACTAGGCATAATGAGAGGGGGCGGGGGTACCACATAGGCTTGTGGTGCTAAGAAATTTTTCATGCTTTCACTGAATCCTTTAATAAGGATTATTAATGTTTATTCTATGATGGTAACCCAGATGCTGGTCAAGAGGTAGAATACAATGGAAATAATCACTAATCTACACCAATACAACATGAGATGCACTTGTACAGTAAAAATATTGAACTTCGACTTTATCAAAGTTCAGTTTCTCCAAGACAAACACACTAAATAGTTTCAAAACAAGGAAACTCTAACATAAGTTGTGTGTTCATAATCTGGAACGAATTGGAATTTGGTAGTGCGAGCTTGTCCCTTCTTTTTCTACATTCCAGAAATTGCAGTCTTTTCCATGTACAAATAATTTGTTACTTATTCTCCACAATTTACTTCTTTATAGAAAGTATATACAACCAAATACAACTCTATACGAATTAATCTGCAAACTTACATATAGCATAGTCATGTTCATCAACATTTTCTAGAAAATAGAACTATTTGTGACACATAATCTTCCTTTATGAAATGAACGGATTGTTTCGTGCTCTGAAAAATACAGAAGCAAATGCCAACAAGTGCAGTTGATTGATACAGACTCTGATTTATTTGGCTTTACACTAAGTCTCTCAAGAGTTATATCAATAGAAACATTATCTAGATTGATAATATATTAATGAACAAAAAATGAAAAAGAAATAAATCACCTCATCATGCAATTGCTTCAAAAAACTAGAGAACTTATCATAGTGTAGATGTTCATTCCCATCCTTGCCAAAGAAGTACTCGACCAGTCCACCATCTTCCACCGGCTGACAAACCTTACGTCCAAAGCGTAAACCATCCCTATGGGCAGCTCCTTGTCTATTATAGGATCGCATCAGTGTCATCACTTTCCTAAACTCATCTTTGTCAATTTCCCTGTGATGAAGACAGTAGCAAGTGAGAACAAAGAATAATAAACAGATAAACAGCTTGTCAAATTTAATCATACCCTTAATAACATCTGAGATGATTGGACATGCTAAAAAAACAGGGTTTTTTCTGGATGACAATCTGTACATGAATTGCCAAATGTAAACAACATGTAGGCATGCGGCATAGATAATATAGTTTAAAGGCATCCTTCTGTAAAGCACATACCAAAATGTAAAGCGCACCACATAATTTTAATAGATTCAGAAAAGGGGGAAAAAAGGGCGTACCCAGTGCAGAGAGCTCCCGCTCTATGCGGGGTCTGGGGAAGGGTGTCAGTGGCAAGCCTTACCCTCGCCTGTGCAATGCAAGGAGACCGCGACTCGAACCCGGGACCTTCCGGTCACAGGCGATAAGACTCTACCGCTTGCACCAAAAAGTTTAAAGGGATCAAACAACGCAGAAGTCAAAACTAGCGATGTCAGATATTTCTTTTACTCTATCTTATTTTCTTCCAAAACTACGGCATTCACAGTTTTTAATTCTAAGGACTTACATTGGTTAACTGTTCCAATGCAATAACTCATGTATAACCTGGATTCCTTAATTAAGATGGATATTAGATTTGCTACGAAATGTTGTGATAAAAATTTGAGGGTGGGGTGGAGGGCTTTGGAGGTTTGTTCTTTGTTGAAAGCTTGAGATCTGGTGCTTCCTTTGAACCCATGGAGGTGACATTTTGCCAGTGGGGTCACATCAGGAGTTCTATATATCAATGTGATCAAATGCCGCCAAAAGAAAAATGGGATTGCATTTTCCCCAGATACCATTAGCCGTGGAAGATCGCATTTATGACCATAGTCATCTGGACACCAGTATTTCCAAACAAGATATGACTAGTCAAAAAATTTCCAAACTAAAATATGTAAGTGAGCATGCTTGCAACAATTAAATGGTTCAGAGCTAATGAAATTAAAATAAGAAAAGAGGGACCAGATGCTGAGATGCATAAAGAAGCCTCTAGAGAATATGGATATGAACAGGGTCCAGTAGATGGAAGATAACATACCCATTGTGGTCAAGGTCAAACATCTTGAAAGCCACATTGAAGCTTGATTCAGGGATGCTAAGTAATGTTACAAAGAAGATATACCTGCATGAGGCAACATTAAAAATTAATAATGACATATGTCTTAAGGAAATCAAGTAAATAGTACAAAGGCATGCAACACTAATAGCATAGTGATACTGATACCTAGATAGCTAGATACCTAGATGTGTCAGTGTCATCCCTACGCATGCATAGTTGAGTGGATGTTATAACAGCGCCTATGTATATGATAATATATCCCTACAGTATCTCTTAACTATTTCATTGCATAAAGATAACTAGACAGAACAGAGAGAAATTGCCAATATGATGCAGATATAGTAGACGGCAGAGCAAACGGCAAACAATCGCTTTGGTTGAAGTCACAACGCACTTACTCAGAAAAGGAGATGACTCCATCACCATTTGTATCGAATAGCATGAAAAACTCAGATGGGGCACATTGTAGCTCGCCAGGGTGGCGCTCCCCCCTCAATCTCCCTTCCCTGACAATTTTGGACTCGGATGGGGGGAAAACGGGGACAACCGCCCTCATCAGGTCGGTAGGTAACATGTACATCTCACCCTCCGGGCTGTGGACGGATGCGAAGTACTCAAAGATCTAGCATAAGAAGCACGAGAATTTGAATGGGAAAATTATCAAACCATATGACGTAGAATGGTTATTCTGAATATGGAATGCCACATTACCTTCTCTGGAGGGCTGCGCGTCCTAATCCTCTTCTCGTACTTGAAGAACACCCTTCGGCGATATGAATCTACAAGACGATGGTAACCAAATCATCATGCCGTTTCTATCAACTATGACCACATTAACTTAAATACATATTATATAATATATACATGGCTACAAAGTACAAATGCTCGTTGAACGAGAGGAACGCTCACGGCGACTCGGTGAGAAAAAAAAAACACTAGCATTTCTCGTGCAACGATAGCCACAAATCCACGGCTCGGATGCATCACCTTTATCTACAAAAAAAAAAAAGAAGACGAGCTAATTCATTGCGCGGCGCTACGGATTCAACCAAGGGTGCTCACCTCCGAACAGGAACCTGCCCTCCCGCTCCCCGGTGGCTCCGACACCGCCGAAAGCTGCGGGGAAGCCGCTGTTGCCTCCGCCGCCTGCGGCAGCGGCATCCTCCGCCTGGCCGGAGTCCGCGAGCGGCTGCGGGTTCGAGGACAGCAGCCAGATCCCGAGCCCCGAGCCGGCGGCCACCGAGACCGCGGCGAAAGCCCTAGAGTCGCTGCACGGCCCCGCGGCCGCGGCCTCGGCCTCGGCCTCAGCAGCGGCTGCGGAGAAGGCGCGGGCGCGGGCGCGGAGGGCCCGAGCCGCTCGACGGCGGATCGGAGGCGGGTTAACGCGGCGGCCATGGATGTCGGGGGCTAGCGGCTTCGATTCGCCGAGGACGGACGGAAGGAAGGGAGGAAGCGGCGACGCGGGGGCGCACGGACGAACGTTGGGCGGAGCCTGCCGGAATGCGAGGGAGGGAAGGAATAGGCGATTAGCTGGCCGTCTTTGTTGGGCTTCCCTTTTTTGTGCCGTGGAGACAAGACAACCGGCCAAGGCCCTACCCGGCTTTGTAGGCATTATTAGACAATATGCATGCGAAAAAAAAATGTGCTTTTCCAATTTCCTTTATTTATTCAAAAAATTACGGTTCGTATATATGGCAGTGGCGGTAAGCCAGTGACAAAAATGTGACATCGAGTATTTCAATAAGTCACGTGTAATCTTTGGCAAAAAAAATCTTGCTAACTCCACCTAGGTCTAGTTTAGTTGCAAAAAATTTTCAATGGCTTTTTCAAGATTTTTCACATCAATCTTTTATCCAAGACGTATGCCAGTAATATCTCAAGAAAAAAAAATAAAACTAATTACACAGTTGCGCTTTTTTAAGCCTAATTAGACTATGATTATACACTAATTGTCAAATAACAACGAAAACTACTACAGTGCCATTTTGCCAAAATTTTTGGCATCTAAACAAGGGCCTAGTTTACCCTGCTTGAGAAGATTATCAATGGCTCGATTTTTTGATTCACATCCAAGACGTATGCCAGTAATATCTCAAGAAAAAATATAACAGTTGCACTCTTTGTTGTTTTAGGGCCTCTTTGGCACGTTATGGTTCGGTTCCATCTATTTTATGCAATCGAGGCAATTTGGTTAGAGTTAAAATGAATTAGCTGTAATCAATTCGCGGGATCCCATCCCATGCCATGATGAGCCGTGTCAAAGGGCTTTAGCATTTCCCACGCGGAAAGTCGATGGAAAACTACTCACATAACATCTATGGTGGTGTTTTGTTACTCGTTTTTTGCGATGTAAACCGCTCACAACGTGGTTCGGTACCGTTACTTCACGTTTGGTTAGACATGGCTGTAATCAATTAGCGTGGGATCCGATCCCATGCCATTTAAGGTTAATCCTTCCCATGGTGGAGCTTTATGGGTTCCAAGCCTAGATATATCCTTTCAATTGGCTCACCAAACAAAATCAAGTTCTGCTAAAAAAAACAAAATAAAGAAAGTAGCGATTCCGTTTCCGATACGGTTGTGACTTGTTCCCTCTGCGTATCATTACCGGTGCCACAACCAAACAACACCTATAATGCTTCCAAATGATTAAGTGTTTGGTGTTAACATGGTTCTACGTAATGCAACTTAAAAGTGCTTCAAGAAAATCCAATTAAAATATGAATGATAGCATGCGCTAGTCTATTTTGTATAAAGTTTGACCTTGAACAAACACTTAAAACTATGCATATCTATAATTTTATAGCTCACAACATCTTTTTTGAAACTATTTCTATTCTTGTGCTAAAATAACCAATACAATGTTCAGCATGAAATTTGCTGCAAGCCTCCAAACAAAAAAAATACACCGTGAGCTAGTAGAATTTTGTTTCAATCCAACTCATATAAAAAGTTAAGATTTTTTTAGGGAGCTGTGCAGAAATGGGAATTGCTATCAATGGAACGCGAGACGTGAATTTCTCGACTTCCCTTTATTCCCGTTTCAATTGTTTTTTTTTTTTTTGAGCAACTTCCCGTTTCAATTGGTGGGAGGGGTTTGCCCACCTTTTTATTCGGAACAGTTATTTAAAAACAAACCGTTTTTTTTAAGGCTTAGGTAGTAGTAAAGCCCAGTATGTAACCAGTAAGCACAAGGGCCCCAAAATTAAAAGCCCATGTAACCTCTCAAAAGAAAAGAACAAAAGCCCACCTAACTCGCATACATATAACCTGCCGGACGACTAGGGTTTTGGTTTGGGCACGCCTTCTATCCTCGCGCCGCCGCCGCCGCCGCCTACGACGTGCGCCGCTGCCCGTTAGTCCTCTCGAACATCAACCATGGCGGAGCAGGTGAGTTACACCCGTGGACTGCATGACGAGCTATCCATTTGTTGTCTTTCGATAAGTCCGGGTGGGGAATACTAGCCTTCTAGCAGCGTTCTTTTGGCCCAATTTGCCATGGTGCCTTGCTTGTAAGTCTTGTTGACACCTTCAGGTCTAGTGCTGTTCTGTCGAGGTGTCCTTACTCTTATGTAGACGTCTATTGATCAAGTGGTATGGTTTGATTCAATTTCGTCATTAGCGGTCGACTTGTTCAATCCTGATACTATGAAATGGATATGGTGCTTCTTTCCTCACTGATTGATTCAATTGTGATGCTCTGAAATAGATTAGATAAATATTCAGTCGAGCACCAGATCTATGTGGATCAGTCTAGTCCTTATTATTTAGCACAAGTGGATTGCTATCGTTCTGTTACCAGTACAATTTCATCAACTTGTCGCCATTTTATTTGCAATAAAAATTAAACAATTTATCTGGTTTTTGCAGACAGAGAAGGCTTTCCTCAAGCAGCCTAAGGTTTTCCTCTGGTAAGAGAAAGTAGTGTTATTCTTTGTAAATTGGTTCGTGGTATTTTGTTTTGTAATGAACTACTAATCATGGTTTCATTTGTATAATGCTGCAGCTCGAAGAAGGCTGCCAAGGGGAATAAGCCCGGCAAGGGGGGCAACAGGTTCTGGAAGAACATTGGCCTTGGTTTCAAGACTCCCAGGGAAGCCATCGAAGGTTTGTCCTGGAGCTTGCTTGTCCAACACTGTCATTTTAGTTTTCAGAACTCCCTAATTTGATGTTACTTGTTAGCTTAATGTAACTTACTCATGAGCTAGTAGCGTTCACTGATTCATCACTTTTAAGAGACTAGCAGAGAATCCACAACTGAATCAAACTCTATGTGATTTTATCTGTTATAGGTGTACCCTATTTAAGCTATCTGTCACTCAACTGTTTGATCCTTTCTGCAACACTTGGGCTGTACTGAAATACTCCCTCCGTCCCAAATTATAAGACGTTTTGGCATTTCTAGGTTCATAACTTTTGCTACGCACCTAGATATATGGTATGTCTAGATACATAATAAAAGTTATGAATCTTGAAATGCCAAAACGTCTTATAATTTGGGATGGAGGAAGTAGAAAACATTAGCAAGCATATGGCAATGTTGCTATATTGCAAGGAGTGTCTGGTTCTCTTAATGCCCATTGACATGAACATTATGTTATATGCTTTGTATCCAACCTGAAGGTGTGACTAGAAGAAACAGTATGAATGGCGTGACAAATTGTCTTTTAGTTCCTCCTTGATTATCTGTACACACGTGCTTTTTTTATCTACCAGATTCTTTATGAACATTCCTGCCCCCTTCCTCCCTTAAACTAGATTGTTTGCTATCATTGTTAATAAATATTTGAAACGTAATGGCTCTTTTTTTTTTTCATTGAATTGCTTATGCAGCTCTACCATACCTTTTTCAGTGCAGAAACTCTGTAAACTTTGAGACTTAAATGTGCTCTTCATTTGTCTTGTATTGCAGGAACCTACATTGATAAGAAATGCCCGTTCACTGGCACTGTGTCAATTAGAGGCCGCATCATTGCTGGAACATGCCATAGCGCTAAAATGAACAGGACTATCATTGTTCGTAGGAACTACCTTCATTTTGTCAAGAAATATCAGAGGTCAGTGAATATTCTTTGATGGTTCAGACTTGTATCGGATTATTTCATCATACTAACCGTAATTCTGGTATTCTTGTATAGGTATGAGAAGAGGCACTCTAACATCCCCGCCCACGTTTCCCCTTGCTTTCGTGTGAAGGAAGGAGACCATGTGATCATTGGTCAGTGCAGGTAAAAAAAAACAGTTCTGATTATTTTGAAGCTATGCTTGGTCTTTCCACAACTTATCTCCACATTTGCACCGCTTTTCCCACTACGATTATGGCATTACTAGATACTAGATTTTCTGCTGTGCCAATAACTAGCTGCTTGATGCCACTCTGAATTCTGGAATACTCGCTGTTGTGCCATGTGCCTATGCAGGCCACTGTCCAAGACGGTGAGGTTTAATGTGCTGAAGGTGATCCCTGCCGGGTCAAAGAGTGGTGCAGTGAAGAAGGCATTCACTGCTGCCTGAGGAAGAGCCATACATCAAAGATTCTGAAAGCTATAGATCATGAGAAGATTCTAAAAGCTATAGATAGATCATGAGATTTTGATGTCAGTTTCTATATGCCATTTGTACTAGGATTTTTGACTCAGAGAATTATGTGCAAGTTAAAAGTCAAATGTGCTGAATTCAGCAATATTGTCAAGAGGAAATCTTGAGAGACGTACTGAAGGCTTTGTTTCAGTTGGACGATTATCTTTGTGCATTTACGGGTGAAAATATCTTGCTCGTTGTGATTATGTGGGTTCTTCTCGGGAGGCTGACAGTCCGAGTGGTCTATGCCTAGTTTGCGTGGATCATGGATCATTGGATCCCATTCCCATACATCCAGACGCCTATGGGTGTCTGGTGTCATGAGGTAGAATGCATGATTGTCGATGTACCATCGTCGACTTCACGTTGTTCTTTTCCTTGTAATAAAAAGAACCTTAGGCCCTATTTGGTTCCCAGGAATTTTGAGGAATTTGAAAATAATCTAGGTAATAATAAAATATCAATCACTTTCTAGATATTAGTTTCAGCTCATGTGATCAATGCAAAACCGCCGCCACTAGGTCCTCCACTTGGTTGTTGGGAGCTTAGCTCAATGGGAGGCAATCACGCAACCCTTGTGCCGTGACACTGGTGAACTACAACAGCTTCTGCTGCATCCAGAATGACTGAATGTACAAAATGTGAACGTACAAGCAATCCAGAAGACCGCCCTTCACCCCTTCTCAGTTCTCATGATGTAGAGAACGCAACTGCTGGACTCATACGTGTCTAGCTATATAAACCGGCCATTCGGCCAAGGCCAAGAACCATACAGTAACGCGCTTCTGGGTTTCCGGCGCACACCTCGAGTCCGAAGACGCCAACAGGTCTGTCTGTTCCCTCCATGGACAGGGACACGCCCGGGAAGCAGGAAGCAGCAAGCTGCAACGCTAGGCTAAGGCATTGTTTAGATTGCAAAATTTTATAACCTGGACACTATAGCATGTTTCGTTTGTATTTGACAAACTTTGTCCGATTATGGACTAACTTAGACTTAAAAGATTCGTCTCGTCAATTACGGACAAACTGTGTAATTAGTTATTCTTTTTACCTATATTTAATACTTCATGCATGTGCCGCAAGATTTGATGTGACGGGAAATCTTGAAAAATTTTGGATTTTGGGTGGGATTTAAACAGGGCCTAAAGCGATGTCGCAGTCTCACCGATCAATTTCCTCGCTTTGTCACTAGTGTTTCATTCAGCCTTGGGGAGCAAGGAAGAATCCCGCCGGACTATCGAGTAGTGACACGGACACACGGTCCACAGTTCCACACGGATATTCTGGAGTACTCCGGAGTGCTCTGGGGCAAACGCAACCTCGCCATGTGAAAGCAGTCTGTCTGTTTACATCCTATATATTATTTATAAATATATAGTAAAAATTATGTATTTAAAAAATCAAAGTGACTTATAATTTAAAATAGAGAAAGTATAAACTAGCTGATTATTAACTAGATATCTTTTTTTTTGTTCAACAGTTAATAGATAGATGCATTGATATTTTGTTCATGAATAATGTTCTTTCTATTTTAGCTGCTATTACCTGAATTTAGACAATACCCTATGTCCTGGAATACAAAGTATCCTAGAAAATTCTTAGGCGTTGTATATGACACATATAACCCTTCGTAGTTACCATATTTGAGTTAGTAATATAAATTAATGGCAGATATACATGTGAATGTTTCCTTTTTAAACTGAGTTGAAGAGTTAGTCCACCTAAAATCCCTTATAATTTAGGACAAATTTTCAACGCTTAGATAGCTTGTATTTCAAGACAAAGGGAGTAGTGATTACCTAGCCTATTAACTAATGACTTGTTTAGATAAGTTAAGACGAGTTATCGATTATGGTTAAAAATAGTCTAAATTATCTGGGTTGGTCAGCTAGTTAGATAACAACTACTTGAGGTTTGGGGAAAAAGAGCACTTCTATCGGCCATCGTTTGAATGAGTTATTAGGGTTCAAAATCAGCTAAATAACAATTATTGTTCATATGCACTCAAACAGGCCTAGGACTGATTGGATTGATCCAAACTATATTTTTTCAGCTATTAGCGTCGTGCAATATTTTTCATTTTTTTTAGATTCAAGTGAGATCTATCAAAAGCGAGGCAACACTACTTTGGGCATGTTTGGATCCACACAACTAAAGTTTAGCTAGCTAAAATTTTAAAGCTAAACTTTAGCCAGCTAGAATTTCTCCTAGCTAAATTTTAGCTAGAGTGTTTGGATTTTCCAGCTTAATAGACTCAGCTGAACTTTAACTAAGTTTAGCTGGGTTGAAATAGCTAAACTCAGCTAAATTTTGAAATGGTCTTTTAGCTAAGCCGTTTGAATCCTAGTAAATTTAGTCTAAAGTTTAGTCGGTAGATCAGACATGCCCTTTTGATCCGTCTGTCGAAAAAAACAGCGTTAAAAGGGAGGAACTTGTCGGTGTTTATTTGGAATAGAAGGTGAGACCGGCTTCATACAAAATGGCTTCGTACATGCGGTTCCAGAAATGGTATAGCGTTCTCATTGGAGGTCGACGTTGTTACTACTCTGATTTTCCGATGTAATCAAAACAAACCAACGTGCGTGCAACACGGTAGTAGATGGAGAGATGTACAGTAAAAGTTACCTTCGCGTACAAGTCTCCACGTGCAGAGTGCAGACGGGACTGGCCCCGCGTACAAGTCTCCACTTGCTAAGCGTTCGAGAGCCCTCCACGTCTTTCTCCTCGCACCAACACCTTATCCTCTCGTGTTCAGTTGCTCCTCTCCCCCTTCTATATATCCATCCATCCATCCGTCGCAAGCAAGCTCCAAAGCAAGCACCTGCAACTGCAACAAGCCAGCGGCAGTCACCGGATTGTCACACAGGCGATCGAATTGAGAAGCACACAGTAACCCATACCACCCACCAGCAACAATGGCGGCGGCAGAGGGGAAGACGGCGAAGAGCGGCGGCGGGCAGATGACGGTGGTGCGGGGCCTGGACGTGGCGCGGTACATGGGGCGGTGGTACGAGATCGCGTCGTTCCCGTCCTTCTTCCAGCCCCGGGACGGGCGGGATACGCGCGCCACCTACCGGCTGCTGGAGGACGGCGCCACGGTGCACGTCCTCAACGAGACGTGGAGCAAGGGGAAGCGCGACTACATCGAGGGCACGGCCTACAAGGCCGACCCCGACAGCGACGAGGCCAAGCTCAAGGTCAAGTTCTACCTCCCGCCCTTCCTCCCCATCATCCCCGTCGTCGGCGACTACTGGGTGCTCTACGTCGACGACGACTACCAGTACGCGCTCGTCGGCGAGCCGCGCCGCAAGAACCTCTGGGTATGTAAACCAAGAGCTTTGCCAGTTCTCAATTAAGTTCTCTTTTAGAGGAAGTCGTAGTTCAGCTCCACCTCGGTTCGAAGCTGTGTGCTCATGGATCTTTGATTTGCGTACGCGCGCGCGTGCGTGTGCAGATTCTGTGCAGGAAGACGAGCATCGACGAGGAGGTCTACAACCAGCTGGTGGAGCGGGCCCAGGAGGAAGGCTACGACGTGAGCAAGCTGCACAGGACGCCGCAGGACGACCCGCCGCCGGAGAGCGACGCCGCGCCCACTGACACCAAGGGAGTATGGTGGTTCAAGTCGCTCTTTGGGAAATGACTCACCGGCACGCATGCTCCGGTGCTTGTGCTTGCTGCTAGTACTAGGACTAGTATATAATCTGCGCTGCACGCAGCAAATAAAATGGGACCTGGGGATTGGTGTGTTTAGCTGTAGTATACATTTGTTAGTGTATCTGTGTGTGTGTGTGTGTGTGTGTGGACTGTGGCGTTATACGTGCATGTGTTTTGATAGATTAATGGGATTGAAATGTAATGTTTGATTTTACTAGTTAATTGCATTGGCGAGGCAATCACTCTAAGGATTATGTGAGCTTGCAAATTATCTATACGTATAGACTGCTTGGTTGACAGCCAGCTGCTGTCGGATGATAGTTTCTCGCTCTAATAACTGTCAGGCTTGTGGAAGCAAGTCAAAGATGGTCGAGCTTGTGACAGGTACGGCCTGGGCAGCAGAACAAACCTGCGAGGCATTCATTTTGATGTAGCCTTTGGACTCGAATCAATTAGGGACACCAGGTTTACAAAAAAGAAGTTTATGGGCTTAGCGAGCCCAGAAACCAACTCACAAATCCACTCGACACTTCTATTTGACACGGAACTTAGAAAGAAAATTGGATTGTTGTGTGTGCTTGACGTTTGAACTTGTGCTTCTTGTTACTATTTGAGGATTTCACTTTAATCTACCCTGTTGTAGGTTTCTTTGTAGTTGACTAGTGGGAAAATTTAATTAACTTAATTTCATAACCTTTATGATTCAAGTATGAACTTCTAATTGATCCTATTTTGTTGAATTCGCTCAAGTTTCAGAGAACTTGACGATGTTGTGACACTAGAGCATTTAGTAAGGTGTAGACAGTCTAGAGGCTTAATTTACACCTCGAGTTAAAATCACATGAAACATATGCTCAACCTCCCTCTAAGGCCCTTTAACTCTACAAGAAATTAACATTTTTTTTATATATATGGACCTTTATATAGTGTTTTGCATGTTTTGATTTGGGACTGATTTGAAAGTTGAACGAGGAACAACCTAAGCGTTACATTGCCAACCTTCATCTAACCCATTTGGAGGAAAACATCTCTCCATTCAACCTTGGCATGCTTCGGCCCATGACCCATCAATAAAATCCAATTGATTTGTTTTGAGGAGAATAAAACCCAATTGATGATTTATTTGTTTTCCTTTTTTTCCTGTTTTCTTCATTTTTTGTTCGGCCCATGTAGATCCATCTTAGGCGCCCCGAGATAAACTTTCCCAACGATTAAGTGTAGGGATAGTGTGAGTCTAAGCCATCTTTTCATTTTCTCTTCTTTCCTTTTCTTTTTATGCTATATTGGGTTGTTCAATAATATATTATTCTATTGTATATTCTAAGTATGGCAATAGGAAAAAAATCCATTGTTCTATGTTATGATGTAGATTGTTTCATAATGATAATTTATTGTTTTTTCTTGTGCTGTATATATGAACCTTTGAGTTGTTCTAGGATGTTTTTAACTACACTGATTATTCCAGCAGGAACACACTAATTGTTCCATGTTATATTAATATATTATAGGCGTTTTTCATTCATGAAATTTATTGTTCTCGCGGTGCAATTAAGGGGGTGTTTGGTTCACTCTTCACCTCCTAAATATAGTCATATTTAGTCACTTTTTACTCAAACACTTTGACTAAATGGACTTTAGCCAACTAGTCACTCAAATGTTGCTAAATGGGATTAAACCTCACATTTTAGTCACTCTAGAGCCAAACATATTGACTAAAAGAGACTAAAATGACTCTTTTAATCTCTTTTAGTCCACCAAATCAAAAAGGGGGTGATTAAAGTTTAGGAGCTGGTTTAGGTGACTAAACTTTAGGAGGTGCAAACCAAACAGGCCCTAAACTGATCCATATTCTAGATATGTTTTGATGATCCTGATAAAAACTATCCATTGTTCTGTGTGATACCCTTGATTGTTCCATTCATGAAAAGTTAATATTCACCTAATACAATTAAATGATCCACAACTTTTCCAAATGTGATGTGATATGTGATATTTTAGTTGTATTTTGACTACTCCTTTTGGGGAGTTGATTTTTATGCTATATTTGGATATGGTCGACCAGTGGAAACTTCTTGTTCCGTTAGTACAATTAAATCCTTAATTTTCAAAAATGTTCTATGGTATATTTATCTATAATTTTTTGTTGTCCCATTAGTAAAACTTCCATGTTATAACTTGATTTGCTCCACCTAGCGATAATATTGTAACCCCACCCCGACTCAATTATTCTATGTTTTTTGTTTAAATCTCCCATATCTGTATCTGTATCTGTATCTGTATCTGCATCTATATCTGTATATGTATCTATATCTATATTTTATATTTTCAAACCCCACTAAAAATTATATCTCAACGTGCAAGCTATAGCACATGCAATTATAACCAACTCGCACATGTAATTATCTCATCATCCACTAACCATCATTTAGTTGCCCACATCAACGCGTCAAACCATTTTCTTCATATAACTAAATATAAGTAATCTAATTCCAATTTAAATCGTGTGTGATCCCTGAAACAACGTGCGGGGTATCTTGTAGTTTTTCTATATATTTTGAGTCTTTCGTATGATACTCCCAATAACTTAGCTCTTACTATATATTTTGAAGCGATAAAAGGAAAAAAACAAAAACAAACATGATATTAGGCATTTTATGAAGCATGGAGGCCTGGTACAATAATACATGGCTCATGGGCCTTATTACTAATGAGAGGAACTATGGACCGAATCTCGTTAGCCAACATGGACCAAACATTTCGTTAATTGAAATAGTTAAAATTATATGACTGTGGCAAATGGAAAGGAAGGACCCATGAAACATACTGCATACCAGGTTGTCTGGTTAGGTGGATGGACACTGGTTAATGTCCACCTAGGTAGAACATCACAGGCTTACAGCCTGAGTTGCATGGCATAAAAGTATGATGGAAAGTTGCTGCCCATTTAGAACAAACTTCGTTGCTGAGGATAGTTAACAACTAATTTTTAGCTGAGTGATAGCTAAGAACTAGTTAACATATTAGTTGATGTTCAAATAGGACCTCGATAAAATTTCAGCAGTTAACATTAGCCGTTGAATCTAAACAAGACCTAAAGAGTGTCACAATATTCACCCGATAGAGGTACAACCATAACTATTCAAGGCATGATATATAGACTCGTTAAATTAAGCTTTGGATGACCTATATGGTATCATTAGGTGATACTCTAGATTCATCGTGACATATTTGTGAATATTTGAAATTTGAAATCATAGTTAAGAAACATGTAAAGATACTTAGCTGGTGCCACAAAGAAGATATACCGGTTCAATGCATAATATCTTCTTATTCAAAATTATGTTTTATTTATTACACATTCACACGATATGACGCCAGTGCGTCAAATGTGTGCGCGGAGTAACACGTATCCGTTGGATTGCAGTAATCCAACGAACCGTTGGTGCTCCGCTTGTATATATACCCCCTTCGCCGGACCTTTTCTCCTACCTCTCGACATACCAAACATATACCTAGTAGTACTGTTTATGGCCCTGTTTGTTTCATTAAAATTTGGCTTATGCTGATTTATTGTGAGAGAAAACACTGTTCATTCGCTGAAAAGTACTACTGAAGTAGTGCTGTCATCGGTGATATGTCTACTTGTTGACTACGATTCAAAAACCACCATCGTTGCCGCTACTTCATCCCTGAAGCGTCATCACCACCGACACCTCGCACCGCCGTCGTCCTTGACCAGGTAAACAGAACAGAACTCCTATCGTTTTTCTTGCTATGTACTCCTACTTTCAAAGATAGCTTGGCGCAGTACATAGAGCGTATCCGGCGCCAAACTACCATTTTGGCCACAGCGAGCGTCGTGGCAGCCATCGGCCGGGCGCCCCACGCGAGTCGACGGCCGAGATCAAGAGGAGTGAGGTGGAGCTGCCTAGAGCCGTGGAGGCCAGCCAGCCAGCCAAGCCACAGCAGACCGCCAGGCCGTCCGCGGACGCGAGGCCACGAGGCCCCCTCAGGTGAAGAGGATTCCATGGTCACCCGACATGCAACCTGTTCATTTGGTTGATTCATATTGTTACTTGTTCGTGATGAAATACCGTTGAATGGTTTTATTAGAGAAAAATACGTCCGCTTGGGGCTCTCGGGGCTGCGGTGCCGGGACGTTGGCAATTTTGGCGGACCTCGATAAACCGCCCGCCGATTCTTCCAAACCTCACCACCTCTCTCACGCACGCCCAGCGCCCCCAGCCAGAAGCGAAACCCAGCCCAGCCCCAAGCCCCCGCCCGCACCGAAACCTCGTCGCGTCGCGCGGAAGAGAGGAGAGGGGCGGGGGCGAGAAGGGAATACCGCTGCGGATTCCGTCGTCATCCACCACCGCTCCACCGCTAAACCCTCCCGTGCTCCTCCGCGGGGCGGGACGCCGAGCGTGAAAGGCGCCCGCTCTCGGCCCGCCGCACCCCGCACTCGCGCCGCGAGGGGAAACCCTAGCCGCGGCAGATCTAGAGCGGGCGCTCTCGATCTGGCCGCGTAGACCCCCGTTTCGGCCGGGGAAATGGCGGAGGATCCTGCCGCGGAACAGGAGATGCGGCAGCTGGAGGACCGGCTCAGGGAGGTCGGGGAACGGCTGCAGGCGCCTCCCGACGACGCGGAGGACCTGCTCAACCTCCTCATCGTGAGCCTGCTCCTCCTTTACCGCTTGTTCTCCTCTCGTTGATTGTTACGCATATGTTAAGACTGCGTGTCTGCATATGTTAGGACTGCGTGTCTGCATATGTTAGGACTGCGTGTCTATGATGTGTCGTGTTTGCGTGCGCGCTTACGTCTCGGTCTGTATCGGGTATGAGTAGGAACCGGGTGAATGTTGTGCTCTTACCTGTTGTTCGCGGTGATTGTTTGGGTCGCAGATGAAATGCTACTCGGCCTGGTGATTTGCTTTTGAGTTGTCTTCCGTGCTAAGAAATTCGAAATTTATTTTGTTCTGACGAAAC